ATTCATTGACATACATAAAAAATAAATAGAATAAACCATACACTTATTATGCATGTTTACTAAATTATCGATTCACATCCGTACCAGAGCTAAATTCTCCATTGACATTATTGTACATACTTATCGTGGTGGATCCGTATTAGTGCTTGTATGTCGTCCAGATGTTTGTCCTCAGGTAAAAATGCTTGTATCTTTGTATAAATATTTGCGTCTGTTCCTACGATAATACAAGAGGGGTTGAGATATTTCACATGGCAAAGTGTTACAGTATTATGTTTTGATATGAGATGCGGTGGGTACAGGAGGCGGAGGGGGGGGGATGTAATTTGTGTTTTGAAAATTGATGAAGTCTATGATTTTGAGGTGTGTGTGTGTGTGTTTTGATTGGTATTAAGGATCGTTCAGAAGCAGGAAATTATATTACAGTATATAGTTGCGTCTCGTCTGTTTAAAAGGCCAAGCGTGGTACCGTACGTAGGTGGGGTGGAAGCTGGTTCGTTCAAGTACCATGTCGTGTAGGGGTGGTGATAGTGGTGGTGGGTGATAGTGGTGGGTGGTGATAGTAGTGGTGGGTGATAGTGGTGGTGGGTGATAGTAGTGGTGGGTGGTGATAGTGGTGGTGATGGATGGTGGTGGGTGGTGATAGTGGTGGTTGGTGGTGATAGTGGTGGTGGGTGATAGTGGTGGTGATGGATGGTGGTGGTGAATATGCAGGTTACAGTCACTACAACAGGATGGGGTGGTCTTGTAGGCCTAATGCAGCTGTGGTGTGGGACAGCTGCAACGTGGACAGGAGCGGTTGTCACTGGTAGCTGGAGACATTATGAAGATCAGATAGCGTTAATAGGGCCAGTGTAGTGAGTGCCTCTTAATAGGTGGTTAATAGTCGTTCGGGGGGGATCCATTGTAACGCGGCGTTTGGCTGGTCTTAGTATGTTGTGACGGTGAAGGCGACCCACAGCAGTTCCCAGGGGGCCGTGTTGGTGGGTCTCCATTTCACACATGGGCGTGAAGTGTCGACCTGATAGTGTGTGTGTGTGTGTGTGTGTGTGTGTGTGTGTGTGTGTGTGTGTGTGTGTGTGTGAGAGAGAGAGAGAGATTGTATTGTACACTAATTCCACGAGATAATTTCACCATGAAGAAACCCCACGTGCTGATTTTGAGTTTGTTGATACTGTAATAATGGAGTGGCGAGACAGCTGAGGGAAGTGTGACTGTACGGAATTTAATCAAGGAGAGAGAGAGAGAGAGAGAGAGAGAGAGAGAGAGAGAGAGAGAGAGAGAGAGAGCACTGTGTGTTTGTCTACTGCAGGGAAGGTGACTGGTGACTGCCGTGCCTTGGTGACCTTGGTGTTAGCTAACGGGGAAGTGTGTGGAGAGGGAGGGAGTTCATGACCTGGTAAGGACACCATGTTGGGTGGGAAGAGTGGTGGTGGAGGAGGTCGTGAGCAGGAGAGAGAGAGAGGGAGGAGAGGGGAAGCAACACACACACACACACACACACACACACACACACACACACACAACACATTCCTACACCGTGACAGTCTCTCGTTGTGGTGCCAATATCACCCATCGTTCTGTTATATATTGACACTTGCTTGCATGACCTCGCTGCCTTTGGTGTCTTTGGTGGTGTAAAAACGTGTGATTTGATTAGTGAGTGATGTGTGAGGTGAAGGGGGGGAGGTGCAGGTAGATGGATAGAAAGTAGAGGAAATAGATAGGAGAGGGAGAGGGAGAGAGAGGAGAGGGAGAGAGGGAGAGAGAGGAGAGAGAGGAGAGAGGAGAGAGAGAGAGGAGAGAGAGAGAGAGAGAGAGAGAGAGAGAGAGAGAGGAGAGATGGTAGAAAGAGAGTAGAGGAAAATATGCTTATGGATCAAGTGAAATCTTGCATTCTCTCCACCTCCCTCCTTCCCCTCCCATCTCCTACCACCCCCCTCACCTCCTCCCACCACCCCCTCACCTCCTCCCACCCCTCATCTCCTCCCTCCCACCCCCCTCACCTCCCCTTCCTCCCATCCCCCTTCCCTCCCATCTCCTCCCACCCTCCCATCTCCTCCCACTCCCCCATCTCCCCTTTCCCTCCCATCACCTCCCACCCCCCATCTCCTCCCACCCCCATCTCCTCCCACCCTCCCCATCTCCTCCCGCCTCCCATCTCCTCCCACCCCCCATTACCTCCCACCCCCATCACCTCCCACCACTTCTATCACCTCCCACCCCCCATATCACTCCTCCACCCCCTTCTTCCTCACGCCCCTCACACCTCATAGCTAAGGTATTTGCGTCGTCAGGGAGGAACAAGAGGCCTTGTTTAAATGGCCCAATTGTTTAGTAATGCGTGATAATAATGTGTGTGTGTGTGTGTGTGTGTGTGTGTGTGTGTGTGTGTGTGTGTGTGTGTGTGTGTGCGCTGGTTAGTGCGGTGTGGTGCTGGAGGTGTTGGTAGGTATGCCAGATCACCTTATTGCCTGTAACACTGTAATTTTGATGTATCGTTACATTGGGTCCTACAGGCTATATTGCTTGTATACCACTGTAATTCTCTCTGTTGCCCTCGTTACACTGGGTCATATTGCTGTATGTTACTGTATTATAACCGGTTTGTATTATTGGTGTTCTGGTGGCCCATATTTTTGTTGTTGTTTTGGGTTAGTTTTTTATTTGTGTATTTTACTTGTATTCTTTTGTGTGTGTGTGTGTGTGTGTAATAATAATAATAATAATAATTAACGGTTTATTGAAAGTTCTGCAGCCCGAAGGCTGAAAATATACATTGGACATAAATGACTTATTACATACATTGGTGGTTTAACAAAGCCTTCATTAGAGAAAGGTAAAGGAACATACAGTGAACATACAGATTATTGTAGGTGTTGAACAGCAACACGTAGTGTAGTAACTCCTCCCAGATGGTGTTAGAAGGACCTCACGTGGTGTAGTAATTCCTCACAGATGGTGTTATGAGGGGCCTCACGTGGTGTAGTAATTCCCCACAGATGGTGTTATGAGGCCTCACGTGGTGTAGTAATTCCCTCACAGATGGTGTTATGAGGGGCCTCACGTGGTAGTAATTCCCCACAGATGGTGTTATGCGGGGCCTCACGTGGTGTAGTAGTTCCTCACAGATGGTGTTATGAGGGGCCTCACGGTGTAGTACTCCTCACAGATGGTGTTATGCGGGGCCTCACGTGGTGTAGTAATTCCTCACAGATGGTGTTATGAGGGCCTCACATGGTGTAGTAATTCCCTCACAGATGGTGTAATGAGGGGCTTCACGTGGTGTAGTAATTCTTCACAGATGGTGTTATGCGGGGCCTCACGTGGTGTAGTAATTCCTCACAGACGGTGTTATATGAGTGAGGTGTGGTCCCAGGCCTTCCTATCGTAGACGGATTAACACATCGCTGGTTGTTGGGTCTCACGGGCCATTATCACTGGGTACCTGGGACCTCACTGTGTGAAGGTTAACCTGGGTGGGAGTGTTACTGTTGAGTTTTTCTCACTGACTTAAGCACTGTTCACCTCTGTTTAACACTGGTTCCATTCCTTTCCTAAATGAAATAGCACTTGGCGTGAACTTGTTGATACTCCGGTGGGGAGGAGGGTTCAGGGAGGGAGTTGGTATGGGCCATCCTATTAGTTGACCTGGCTGCTCCGGAGAGGATGCCAGGTACGTCTTGACCCTTTCGGTGGTCGGGTGTGTGTGTGTGTGTGTGTGTGTGTGTGTGTTTTAACCTAGAGAGAGAGAGAGAGAGATTTTATAGAAAAGCTGTAGAAGGTTTAAAATAACAAGGAGTAAAACATGTTGACCATCAGCTGTGTGGACCACGTTGGTGAGACAATGTTTACTTACTGAGAAAAGGTGGTCATTGGTCGGATTAATTCAGGTATAAACACACGTAAAGAATTAGAATGAATGGTTAAAACACATAAATACTTTGAATAAATGGTTAAAACTCATATAAAGAGAATTGAATAATGGTGTAGCCTCCCATTACCCCCAACACAGGAAAAAAATGGACAAACGTGACAGTATTGGCTCAAAGCTTTGTTAGTTTATAATAAACAAAACATTACTTCGCAAGTGTTTAAAGTTTATCGTGACTGGTTTTGAGTACACCGGCGTTTATCTGGAGTGATTGAAAATATTGTATAAAGATTAATTTTAACTTGTTATCTCTGTCTTGTAAAAAGATAATTAAAACTAGATAATGATTGGTTAATGTCTTGATCGGTTAATGCACCGCCCCACGGTCACGGCAATTTAGGTTTACGAGCGAAAATTGTATCGTATCCAAATAATGTTGGGAATCTGAATTAAACAAAACTTGTATTACTTTACTTGGCAGAAGAAATTTTCATTTTGTCATTTTGTTCAACCGCATAACAATATTTTAAATCCGTGCCAATTTTTACGAATTATTTAAGATGCAGTCCAGTCCTCTTGCCAAACCTACCTGTTTCACCCTTCTACATATAAACCGGTTTATGTGAACCGACGGACAGATGCATTGTCAGTGACACAACCTCGGATCAGTCACCTGACTGAAAGGAAACAATGTCAGCCTTCCCATTTGCTGTGACAAAATATGCAGAGGTCATATGAACTTTTTCCCAACCAAATTCAAGTTTGCTGTGAGTCTTGTCTAGTAGTCACTCAAGTCTAGTGACGTCAGTTATGTAAATCATGTAAGTCCATCAAAATATAAGATAATGATGATTATCACACTTGAAATAAAATAATGGTATTCTCTTCATCTGCATTTTATTTTTCAACATAATTTATGGGTGGGGGGGGGGATGAATGATTCCACGAGGATGTTGAAAATTCCTCAAGGGGGGAATGGAGTGAAAAAGGTTGAGAACCACTGGGTTAATGTAGGGGTTAAGGGCATAGGTGGAGAGACATTTGATCTTGTGTTCTTTTTGTGGTGGTGTTCAGACCTGTGAGTGGATGGCGGTGTGATGGTGTTTTGTTTTTTCTTTGTTTACAGGTTATGGCTCTGCACGTTCAGTCTGTCGGTGTCCCTCGGCGCTGTGTTGCTCCTGCCCATCAGTATCATGAGCAACGAGGTTCTCACCCTCTACCGCGACTCCCTCTACGTGCAGTGGCTCAACTTGTCTCTCATTCAGGGTGAGTATTTGTGTATCATCTAGGGTGAGAACATAGGAATGGGGGAAACTGGGCAGTCGCGTTTACACCCAACCCCTATCACTCGTATATCCATCTAACCTATATTTGAAGGTACCCAACGTATTCGAGTTAATGATGATTGTTAACTTGTTCCATTGACCCACTACTCTATTTTCAAACCAGTGTTTACCTATCTGGCGCCTAAATCTAAATTTGTCTAATTTAAAACATTGCTATGAGTTCATTTTTGGTTGGATAATTTAAGTATCATTGTTATATCAAATTAAGTACAGGTAGTCCAGTACTGTGGTATCATTCAGGGTGAGTATTGTCCAGGGTGATTACAGTACTGTACTTATATATTAATATGTGTGTGTTTGTTTGTTTGTTTGTTTGTATATATGTTTTCTCCCACCTGAGGTTAGTACTTACTGTATTTATTCTTCAAAATAGCAAATAATTCTAATCTATACATTAAGCATACATTTGGTATTTAAAGGTTTTATACTGTTACAAGGATATATGTATATTTTTTTTATTTTTATGTGGCCAAAAATGACAAAGTTCACCCAGATCTCTTCTTCCCCATATTTATTTCTGTATCCCACACACACGAGTTTATACACTGTATTGTCCCCCCTCCAGTTATCAGTGAGTGATAAAGAGTACAGTACGGTATAGTGTGAGAGAGAGAGAGTGTGTTACTGAACTTATCTGACCACACTCTAATACCTCTATTGTTCTCAGGATTGTGGAACATCATCTTCCTCTTCTCCAATCTGTCGCTGTTCGTGGGGCTGCCATTTGCCTACCTCTTCACCGAGTCTGAAGGGTTCCCTGGTTCACGTAAGGTAAGATGAGTTCACGGCTGTGTTGTTGTTGTGTAGGTGTGATGTGTAAACCTCTTGGGAAAGTTCTGATCGTAAGCTGTGGGTTAGATGTGTTTTTTCTAAGTTTGCTTCATTTTAGAGGGTTTTTTATTTTTTAGTGGAGAAAACTCATTTGTTATGACCCTTAACTGGCGGCTGAGGATTCCCTACCCCTCCCACCCCTATATGTGCAGAAATAGACTGCAGACCACACGAGACGTCCACTGATGATGGCTGCCGTCCATCATGGAGTCAGCTTACATACTGCCCTTGTACTGTTATAGGCTATAAACAAAAGTACTGTATACTAGTTTTATAGACATAGTTGTTGTGTTGTTTACCTCGTGCCAGAAAGCAGTACTGTATTCGGTTGATTGTGGTGCATGGCGGCAGATGTGGATGCTCAACAAGTTAAGATTAGATAAACAGTATTCGGTGACTTGATTAATCGCCTGTGTACGGTGTGTGAGTGTTTGTTTAGAATAATGCAGGCACAGGACAGTCAACTACAGTACTAAAGTCCATTCAACTCTACCCCCTGAACCACAAACCCCGAGATTCAGACTCATGAATCCAAAGCATTTATGGACAGAATAATGTATCACTCTACTGCTTCGGGTTTACGAATCTGAATCTCCGGGTTCAGGGGGGAGAGGCGAACGGACTTTAGTTAGTTGACTGTACCTCATGGCATTGCATTTTATTATTGCTACAGTACTTTATGATAGATTTAGTTTGTTAGTACAGTACAATGGAAGTTATTATGTACTATTTTTAGGAATTGAAGAGAAAATGATAAATTTGCATATTTTTTTTTTAGTCTCCCATCATTTAGTAGGCAAACAGTAAATGGTATATAGTAGTGGGGAAGTCGATGAACACTGTGATTAGGTGAGAATTTCTGAAACGTGTGCAGTACAATACAGTATATCTACAAGCGTCTACAGTGTGATATTGACAATAGAATGGGTGATATACCGTGTACTAGGAGGAATGTGATCAAGGTGGGTACAGTACTAAAGTAATCAAGATGAGTACAGTACCTCATTTTCCATTCTTTTGAGTACACTAATGGATCTACTGCACTACAGGCACGTACAGCATACATTATATCTTTTCTCACTTCAGGGACTCCGAGCTCGGATCGTTGAGACGGTGGTGGTGTTGACGCTGCTGGTGGTGCTGGTGTTTGGTGTGGCTCTCATCCTCTCCTTCCTCTTGGGTTATTACGAACAGGAAAATCTCTCGCAGATGATCGGTAAGTGCGGGTCTATTCGTTCCAATCCCTCGCATATGATTGGTGAGTGCGGGTTTATTCGTTCCAATCCCTCGCGTATGATTGGTGAGTGTAGTTTAATCATTCCAAACCCTCACAGATGATTGGTAAGTGTAATCATTGTTTCTAATCCCTCACAGATGATTGGTGATTGTAGTTATTGATCCTAGTCTCTCGCAAACACTTGAAGAGTTAGGCTTACAGTATTGCTCCCAGTCCCTTGTGGTTTATGGATAAATTTGTCTTATGATCTTGTTTTTATGATGAACACTTTAAAGTAAATGAATGGGTTAAGTTTAATCTTGTTTAGGTCATTAGTTACTTGGGCCATCTAAGGTAAGTTGGAATGCCATAGAGCTGTCCATGCCTGAGTGCTCTTGAGATGCTGCCAATGTGTTTCCGAGCTGTTTGCACCTTTTCGAGAGTGGCTAGTACAGTGGCTCTTGAAATGGTGTTGTAGTGGCTCTTGAAATGGTGTTGTAGTGGCTCTTGAAATGGTGTTGTAGTGGCTCTTGAAATAGTGTTGTAGTGGCTCTTGAAATGGTGTTAGGATGGCTCTTGAAATGGTGTTATGATGGCTCTTGAAATGGTGTTAAGGTGCTATACTCTTTTGGTGGTTTACTGTAGAACAAAGGGCAACCGTACTGGTGATGGTCAGGCGTATGTTCATCATAGTCCTTCAGCCATCATTAATTTTGGTTAATAAATGAGAGAGAAAATGTCCGAGTGAACTTTATAAAATTACAAAATGTAGAAATGTTGGTCAGTAGATAACTCCCGTACAGTCAGGTATGAGTGAGCTCTGCATATACTAGTGTGGCTGGGTTATATGTCATATCCCTCATAAAATCAGATGTGACAAAATTTAAAGAAAAAATGTGTGTAGTTTGTTTGAGAAATAAAAGTAAGTTCAAAATATTGGGTGTAGGATGACAGGTGACATAAGGTAGAACTCTTAATGTTTTTGGCCACTTACGATTACTTCATTTAGGATTCCCCATAATATGTGTTGGATTAAACAATTAACTGTACGAGTAGGTTGAAAGACTTTTATATAGGTAAAATATACAACATGATCTCTGTTATGTTTGATAATTAAGAAAACAGTACAGTATGTTGTTCTGAAGTGTTCATGGAAAATTTTGAGTGGAATTTTTGGATATTTGCAGACTTTGTACAATGTCAGTACCCTGTATACATATGTACGGAGGTTGTCAGTGTTACTTACCGCTGTACAATACAGTACAGTATACCTGTACCATATTATCATGCTTTTCTGGATTATCTACTGGGAAATCTGTTTGGCCATCTCTATATATCCAAGTGATCAGTAATTTACATTTAATCACTGTGTTCCCTCATTTTCCTGAGGATAATTTTTTGCTTCTGTTTGCAGTACTGTATACAGAATTATTTTGGTTACGGTATTTTCCCCAGCTTCACAATGCTTTGATTCACTTATTATTTTTCTTTGCCACTTATGAAAAACAGTAATAACTGGAGCAGCAATGAATAGTTTCTTTATGGTTTGTTGTAGGCGTGATAATGAGAACGACGACCAGTTGGCAGATGATGCTGGCGGTTGTTTCCCTCATTCGTCAGGTTAAATTAGGTTAGCCGAGTGACCCCTGTGTGCCCTAGATGGGATTATGCTTTCCCAGATTGTGTCACTGTGTCATCTTTGTCTTTCTGTGATCACACATTGCCTTGTTTGCTGCATGCTCTTGTGTGATCACTCTTGTTGGCAGACTGCCCTAGGTACTGCAGGCACATAAAGTATCTAGAATCAGTGCTTAAATTAGCTAATCCATTCTCAACAGGATGATGCTATTGTTTGCTTTCAGATCATTTTAGTTTGTCAGTCGGTACTTAACTCGCATATTTAGAGCATTATGAAAACAATTCTTACACTACCTCTATAATGAGTTGACGTGTGGGTTGTATCAGCTTGAAAACATAGTACTGTATGTGGTTAGTACACCATTACCGTAGCTATTGGACTAAACATTTCCTGTCTTTATACAGTATTCAAATGATGTTACTCTTCTCCTTCGTACAATAGACTTGACTCCACGAATTGTATCTCCCTAACTTGTGTACAGTACTGAGGCCTGAGGGTCCACTGTTGTACTCCTCCATTCTTTTCTTACATGGCCCTTCAGTATTTTGTCTTATCCTCTGCTCTCCCTTCTCATTTTATTAACTTAATAACTACTGTACCTTAATTACCTCATCTTGACACCAACCTTCACATTAGCCACCTCACTTTTGTTTTGATATGTAATGCCTCCTTCCTTTCCTCTAGTTGGTGCTGTACAGGTAGAGGCATTGATATGATGTGAGGTGTTACTTATAATCAACTTGGAAATGAAGGGGTTCACCTTGTTTGGTTTGTTTGCAAGTTGAGGATATGAAGAAGTGCGTGCGTACTTCTTGACGTTTCATCCCTTTTCTTATTATTGTCTATTTTTATGATGCGCCAATTATTCACACTCTACCATATTATCCCTTCATTGTGGTTTCTATTTCTCCTGATCTTTGCCATGCCCAGATAAGAAAGGAGGGAGACGATAATACTCTATTTCCTTCTCAGTTCTGTCATTTTCACTTCCTGATTTCTTCTTTAATATGTAAGAGAGTTGTCTCATTTGTTACAGTTAAGGTAACATGTTAACTACTTTGTTTTTTCACTAGAGCATCAACAAGTTAAAAAACAGCAGCACTTGTTCCACGTACAAGGGGCACCCCATACATCTTTCAGTACACCTTACCTTCTTACTACAGTATTGAGCACTATTTTACTACTTAAAGTCTTAAACTATCTAGTCAAACAGAATTGGATCACTCGGTATTCATTTGGAAAAAATCGTAGTGCCCGACATTGACCCTCATGATTGGTTTGTGATTTTGTTTTTGTTTGTTAGGCTTGAGGCCCTTCAGAATTGTTTGAGGTGACTATTTTTTCGTATGGCATGTACAGTTTGCTCTTGTTTTACTGGTGCAATTTTTTTTCTTTCTTGCTTTCCTTAGTCCCCCTTTTTGTGATTTTAGAAATGATAATTAGTATAGCTGAATGGATTAGAAGCATATAGTATACCCCCTGTACTTGACATATAATTTCTTAAATGTAATTATTTATTTAGTTTCTGATTCATAGATTGAAAAACTCTTGGCAGTATAATGTTTGTTAGTTGATAAAGTTTGTTGTTTGTTTACCTGTTTCTGCATGTAATCACCACCTCATAAAGCCCCTTAACTCATCCATACGATCTTAACAAGCAAATTTTAGAAAGCAAGTGTATTTTCACCCGTTTGGAGCTGTAGGTGAAAAAAAAGAAACTCCTTTTATTCAATTTATTGTTTATTTGTAACTGCCTGGTACAGTACTTTATATATACCTGTACCATACTTCTGCATAGTGGTAAGGGAAGGCTGGCCATTTTAGGGCTGCTCCACATTCAAACTCCTTTTAACTGTTAAATCTTCCATCTTGATACCCTTTGCCGAGTGGCCCTTGTTAATGTACTTGTATGATTGGGAGTTTTATCTGTACTGCCTTACTCTCCATGGCTGGTGGGGATTCGTCTTACAATCACCCACCACAACCATCACTCTCAAAAGTTGAAGATTAACACGGAGGAGGACAATGGTTTTGTTGGAGAGAAAGATGGATGGTTGTAAGATCAGTGTCCAACTGCCATAGGAGTAAGGCATGATGGATGAAATCTGGTCAGGCATGCTCTGTAACATGAACCACTTGGGTTTATCTAGACCTGAGAGGATAAATTGACCAGCAGGAGACCTTGGGGAGATCCAGGCTAAACATAGAGATTGATGTGTGACAGTTGTGAGTTTCTTCAAAAAATTGCTCTCTTAACTATTAATACATGTACCTGTGTCTTGAAAAAAATTATTCAAATGTGTTAAGTTTAGATTAATAAGTTTGTTCTTGTATTTTTTATTTTTACACATTCATATTACCCGGTTTACAGTCTTGTGTGTGTGTGTGTGTGTGTGTGTGTGTGTGTGTATATGCATGCATACATTTATATTTGTGTGGATATATACAGTACTACAGTACCTGTATACTTCTAACTTTATATGGTATTTGGGCACTTACACGACTGTACTCTCATTAGCAGTATATCCAGTCCTTGTGCTTGGCTGGCCTGCACTGTACAGGACAAGGGTCTTTGATACTGTCCTCAGAGTAATATTCCCTGAGTGACCTCATGCCAACAAATGTGAAGTTCTCTCTCTTGGTTGGGAATGGGCGGGAGCCAGGGAACGTGTTGCACCAGTATGAATCATGGGCAAGGTGACTTTTCTTGAAGGTTGGCCACAGAAGTAGCTGGAAAATGAAATGTTAATTATGCATTTGGATGTTTTCCTGTCACTGTAACTTATTTTTAACATTCCCCTAAACACCACATTTCAACAGCCACAAACCGCTTTCTGGTGACTGCTGAAAGTGTCTTCTCTTCTGACACATACAGTAGTGCTTGTCATATACACAAATATAACCTATAAGAAATTTTTTCTCAAATCAAATTTAATGTCTCTTTTTATTAGTTCTTTGAGATTATTAAATGCTGTTTTTGCTTGACTTACTCTTGTTATAATTTATTTTGCACATCTACCATCACAGCTAATGTTACTTCCAAAATACACACAATTGTCCATTTGTTTAAATTCCCAGTTGCTTACCATAATTTTTTTCTTATGAATTATATCCACTCTGGAAACAACCATTACTTTTGTCTTTACAACATTAAATCTTAACCCATACAGTAGTCGTCACCTCTAAGAATGATTAGAAATACAATACTGTACCTAAATTATTTAAATATGGATGAAACTAGCTAGCATCCTTAGCATTACATCTTGCTTTTGTTAGATTTTACTGAGAGACATGAAGGCTCAGTTTTTGGATCTTTGGAGCAAATGTGTCTGATAATCACTTACAGTTTTGTCCTCTGCATCTTTGTAAATAATTAACCAGTCAAGCATTTAAATATACTATACAGTACTTGTGAAATTCCCCAGTGTTGAACAATGATCCATACCCTGTACTTAATTTCCTCTGTATAGTGTATAATCATTACATCTCATTATACAGTATCTTTCTCGTTTTAATGAACTAATTCGATCCACCCCTTTCCGTTAAATCGAAATTTCCGCTAAATCGAGCAAAAAATAATGGGAAAAATTTATTTCCACTAAGTTGAGAGTTTGTTATATCAGATTCCATTAAATCGAGAGTATACTGTTCTGTATATTCACTTTCCGTCCCGCTCTTCTCCCTATATTCCAATCACACTGTATTTACATTTTTATCATGAATACGTATTCACCTCTGCCGATTCTCCCTTGTCTCACTCACATTTGACCTACAAACATACTCCCTCCTGCTGGCTCTCTGCTTTGCCTCTGGTTGTCTCTATGATTTTTCTTAAAAAAAAATTTATTTAATTATTTTTAGGTACCGTACTTCTTGACTCTTTCCTTCCACCTTCGATTACCACATACACCCTCCCGGTTATCTCTTATCAGATACTGTACAATGAACCATCAAAAATGTGAATACTCTGACTGCATTGATGGCACTTTTTTTTGGTACATTATCTTATCGTTTATGATTTGTTATATTAGGATATTAATAAAGTACATGTACTGACCACAACATTGCTTTGGTCCTGCGATGATGTGGATTTATTGTTGGACCACCTAAACACGAGGTCCCTCAGCCGTGCCATTGCTTCGGGGTGCCATTTGTCACAGCCCCCCCAGGCACCTGCCATGATAGCCTCGCTGTGTGCCGGGTTGTCTCGCATCAGGTGAAAGCACTGGATAGGGGGGGTAAGAAATGTTGAAGAGGAAGAGTTGCATTAATATGTTGCATTTTGCGTGTTTAGATTTTTACACTATCCTCTTCGCCACTGATCGGTTCATTTAGTTTTGATATTTTGTATAATCCTTTGGGGAATAGTTAGCGTGTACTGTATCTGTATGTGGCGACAAGATTTAATGGATTAGATAAATTATTTGAAAAGCGATTGAAGTGTGACTTGTTATATGTTGAAGGAAGGAAAATTATAGACTCGGGTACTTGTTGAAAGACATTTTTTAAAGGTCAAAGAAGGCGAGGTAGGTGAATGATGTTGAGTGTATGTGTGTGCATTTTTTTTTTTATTCAAACGACATTGGATCAAATTATTACAAACACCAATAGCATTTTCTCCTCTACAAGTTTCAAAAGTACGTACTGTACTAGTGTGACTTTGTGGCTACCAAGACTCAATAAGTGAATGACAAGGGTGACACCATGAGTCATCTCCATCACACCTGTAATAGACTGATATACCTTGTCTGAATTGAGCCATTCGTGTACAGCATCAACTTCGCGCTGCAGAATAGGCGAGTCGGTGTCACGGATGATGTATCTCCGTACCAGCGGGTCTCCCATGACAGCTAGTCTCCATACTGTTCCTGTTGTGTGTTGTATGTTACCTAGCCCTGTCAAATTAGGCATTGATTAGTACATTATGTCAAAATAGGGGTTGGTTACTACAGTACAGTGTGTTATTAGCATTGGTTACATTATTGAAAACAAATAATGGAGGTTACAGTTCTCCAAGTATGTTGTACATCTTGAATTGATCAGAATTTATGTGGTTATGTGTTATTGATAACTTATGATTAGCAGCTATAAAGCAACAGATGTTTTAAAGGTGATACAAGTATATAGTCACACCAATACAGTACAAGGTTGTTTGGTCATAGCATTCTGTTTGTGGAATATTAAGGTGGTTTGGCCAGGCTCTGAACATATGAGGTAGATTTCTCCCAGTGAAATTTTGTCTTTACTTCATTTGTTGCTCGAGTTAATATGTGACACGTATATACAGTATAATTCACCATACAGTACTGTGATATGCGCTGGATACATTTTTACCAACAGATATTGTCGTTCTCTGACTGAATGAGATGTATAATTACCAGTATATATTTTAGTTATTCATGGCTAAATGATCTTTACATTATCAGTGTCAACAATAGAGATTTGCCAGATTCAACCATTGTAGGATACCAGTACTGAGGTTAGTTGTCCTTCCCCCAACCAAGGAAGACAGATCACTTCCATTGAGGCTCATGTATCTCAATATCACCCCTACCTTACCTGAAGAAGACCCCAAGTGAGAATCTTAACCTTTATGAAACAACTGGAAATCCACTGAGAAACTGATGTACATCTTATCCCAGGTTTAGTTGGAGGTGGATGGTTATGAGAGAGCATCCTGGTTGTATAAGAGGAAGGAGGTTTGGAAGATCACTGCCAGGTAGAAATTGGCAGTTTCTTCAGGAATACCTGACCAAAAAGAAAATTTCTGTATCACAAGAAAGTAGCAGAAAACCCAGGATTAAAGGTTTACAATATTAAGTATCTTGAATCTTATCTCAACTCTTGTCCAGAAGAAATTCAGTGCAAGGGAGTAAAGACTGTCCTCGGATTGTGTTCTCAGATTACCTTAGAATTCAAGTGGCATCCTTATAATGTCGACCTTAAAATCAGATTCATTAGCTGTACTGTATTGACTGCACAGTCAGTGAATTAGTGAGAGCAAAGGTAAGAGGAGAGCACAGACAACAGCCTTCCACACTGCCAGATTACAAGGAGCAGTTAGCTTAGAAATACTATCAGCAGCAAGCCCATGTACAGGAACTTCCTTAATAAACCCTGGACGTTAAAGACAGCCTACAACACTCAATAAGTGTTCTACAAAGGACGGGCCACAAAAGTCTATTGCTGTGCAGAATCAAAAAATAATCTTTCCAAAAGGCCAAGCAGATTGATCCCGAGGTCCATTTCCCCATCTAAATTCTGTACCTGTGTTACCTTACCCTGGGAGTTCACCAAGAGCTCTCCACAAGAAGCAGAAATGTTAACCCTCACAGTCACAGGACAACATTTGTGGAAAGGGATCATGATCTTTATCCACATATCTCTTCATCCTTACACCTTCTATTATTATCTCTGCTACCTTGTCTGCCATAAGCTGTCCCTAGTCTAAGACTTGCAAAGCTTAATTCAGATGAACACTCACTATGGTGAAAGCAATTCAGAACAACAATGCCAGTGTTTCAGATATAAAACATGTACCCAGGCACAGAAAGAGATACACTGTACAGGGGTCCCCATTGACTGGAATTATAATAGTCGACCTTGAAATCGTACTTTGTAGCCAAGTAAACGAGGGTCATAGATCTCACCAGTGCTTGTGTGATGGCAAAACCTATAGCTCTCCGTCTTTAGTGGTGGCTTTTGTTTTCATCTGGGAACTTTGAATTTTTAACCCATAAACTTGCCTCACACTGAGTAAGTTGCCTGACCCTGGATTGGTTATGAAATGGGATTTCGAGGTCAGTTCCTAATTTTTGGGTTTGTGTTACTGATGGACATAAATAAATTATTTTTGCTGTAATGTTAAGAACGGTGAAATGGTTAAAGGAGAAACAATTTACCTCCAGGTAGATTTTCAGATGAACAGAAATCTAACTGCTGGTATTTGCAGGCGAGGGAGCACATCCAGTCTCTCTTGACTGGGTCAGAGAGGTCAAGGTCATGATAAAATCGAACTGACCAGTCAGGATACACCTCCTTCAGTCTTTGCATAAGAGAAACTGCTCCATTGAAGTAGGCACTTGGGAATTTACCAAATAGACTGAAACTGATAACCTGTAAATTGAAGTGTGTACAGTATTACATTATCAAGAGACAAATTGCTGAAACTTATAGAATGGTAGTGGGAAAGATAATAGACTTACAATCTATCATTTTAGGTTTAATCAGTCTCCTTTATCAGCTAAGTGAGTGTAATTGAAGGCATCAAATGTCATAAGTGAAATAATCTCAGCTCCCGTAATATGAAAGTAAATAATTAGTAACTGTAATAATACAGTATTGCATGTTTGTCCAAGCTGCTTCATACAGGAGCATTGTTGGGTGCCATCACCCAACTCAAGTGACCTGCCTACACTCCTCTCTTGACTGTTACTTTTCCATCTTGGCTCCCAAAACTATGCAACTAGCGTGTGTATTTTTAATGTAGCGAGCTTATTTGGAGAAAAAAATATAAACTTATTGTCTAAGTTGTGGTCATGGTAAAATGCACCAGACGTCACCATTTTGCTGCAAAAATATGAAAAATGTCTTAGGAGATACCCAAGTGAGGGAGAGAGGGGTGGGGGGCTGAACACCCTTTCACATCTACACCATGTTGTCCATCACTGCCAGCTTTTGCCTTGAAGAGAAGTCCCCATTACTTTACTCAAAGGCTCCCTTACTTCATTTATTAACTGATCCCCAGTTCATGTACATTACATCATGCACAGTACAGTATAGTGTAGAAACTTGATTGTTTCAAAATTGGCCACTACCTGTACTTGACTATGGGGTTGAGTGTTGTCTTTATCCAGCACATTATAAAATGTGAATACAGTACAAGAGGGTAGAGGTGTTGAAAACCACATGGCGTCATGAATTTAACTTTTAAATGTGAGGTTGTTCAATAAAAGAATTAGTTTGCATGATAAATGGTTTCTAGTGTTGAACAAAATACTGTATGTTCAGCACTAGAAACCTTTTATCATGTACACTAATTCTGTGTGCTGTATACTATACATCATTACAAAGCATAGAATCTTTTAGTTCCATAATTTGTCAGAAAAGTGACATTGTCAAGATTTTATTGATGTTACCTTTAAGAAAAAAGTTTGCATATCAATGATCAGAATACCACAGTACTATCAGGAATTATTATTTGTAGTCTTTGGAAAATTTATATTAAAAATATGACTGGTAATTTCTTGATAAAATAATCTACCCCCTACTACAGTATAGTGTATTAATGTACTGTACTGAAAGATTACTGAAGACATAACCTTCTGTTTTATATACTTACAAATTGATTATTGCCTCGTATTGTTGCCCAGTCACTGCATGTTGACAGACCGAAGGTATCATTTATTTTTGCAATGATTTCACTTTGTTCAAGCTCTTGACTTGGACAGGACGTCAAAGTGGAAGTTAAATGACGTGTACAGTTACAGGGGGCAAGATGTATCTTTATATCACAAATACTTGGCTTTAAGAAATTCTGAATGGGTAAGATCCTTTGTTGTGTGTCATAATTAGTGATCGTGCTTGTGGGGTCTGAGGTTACTGCTGGAGGGTCGTGTTTGAAGCTTTTTTCATAAGCCACTGCCACTTGGTGGAGGCGTTGAACACCCTGCATAATTAATTGCAGAGTGAACCCACTCTTAGTTACAGGATAATCTGAACCGTCATCATCCTCTAGTTCAATTTTGTAGCGGCCGGCGGGTGTTGTGAAGTTAGTTTTTGCAGAAGCCACAATGTTCTCCTTATTTTTGCCTTGGGTCTGGAAGTTTTGCTCTACATCTTGACTTATGTCCCTAAATGGGTCTTGTGTGGAGTATGACTGTGAAGCATTTGGTGGTCCCCTGTTGGTCTTGACAGTGTGTGGGAGCTTGGTTAAAATTGCTGTCCCTTGTAGGATTATAGTGGAGGTAAAGGCTTGGCAGTATAGAGTAATGAGGGCAGTGCTCGCCAGTAGTAGGAACGTTGGTCGCGATGTAACAGCAGTGAAGAATTTGCATCTCATCTGCAAGAATAATAGGACAGTGAATGATGAAACTAAGACTCTCTTGTGGTGACTGTTTTATTTTATTTCTCACATAATTTCACCCTTGTGTATTTCCCCATCATATTAGTAAAATTTAAGTGACAATTTGACCTTTCATTACACGCAAATCGGAGTTACTACACACATACGAAGCCTAACTAAACTTAAACCATCAGTACATTATATATCTTAGCTAAATTCCATAACATGATCAATTTACTATTCTAAAACTTTCTTATTAATAATTATTTAATTAATTTGATAAACCTGAGTACAGTATGTCCTTATGAGAAGAAAAACGTTACCGTATTAGGAAACAAAATTAAGATTGGGGGGTTTAAAATTTGCCTGTCTTCACTTTAATTCACACAATTGTTTACCTGGAGAACCGTGACGGCTGGTGCTAAATATTTCGTACCAGGAGTTGAAATGGTTTTATCCACTACCACTTAACATGTTTCTTTTATGTCTTTATGTAAGTCAGGTTTATTTGGCGTCTTTGATGGAATTAGGTTAGGTTAGAAATATCAGTATTTTTCGCATCTGACAGTTAAACATTTCGTGATATAGTAGTGTGGAGTGAAAATGTGCCTGGTTAACTGATACTGATATTATTAAGTGCTATCTAAACTGCTTTTATTAATATAAGGATTTGGTGCCATTTTCAAGACAAACAGGCTACTGATAAATGCAATAGAGAGAAGATTATGATTTAAACTTTCAAGGTACAATATTCGTGGAACTTTTTAACTTTTTTGTGCTTTAGTGTCCAATGGTAAGTTATTATTCCTTTTTTTATTCAGAGCCGTTGGAAAGTATGGTTTGAAATATTCGACAAAAACATTAAAATCGCTTACAATAATATTTCACGTCCTACTGTCATTGATTTTTATATAGAGCTGCCGAAGTGACCTAAATTTAACACTGCTTAAGTGAACGTTTCTCTATTTTATACAGAAAATGAAAAGTAAACATCGACACGTTTTATTGTTTGTAAGGTAATTGTTCTCTTACCTGGTCAATGTGATGAAAATTCTTGAGAATATGGTTATCGTCACTAATATCCCGTGGTAGCCGTTGATAGCAGTGCTGACGGTGGATAATATTTTGAATACACGAATACAGTACTGTACTGGTGGTTGTGTGTCAAATACGAACAAATAATGATACATGTATGTATTGATATGCTTCTTAGCAAGATCAGTTGAGGGGCTTTGTGTCGTGGTGGGTGGGTTCCCGCACAAGAAACCGTCTACTACTTGAGGTGAAGACTGTCTGAGCCCGAGTCTCACACACACACACACACACACACACCGCCAATCAGGGGAGCAAGTCACTGAGCGGAACACCAAATCTCTGTGACGTCAGTGGGTTATGTACGATATCTTTAGGATATTAATTCTGCTTACTGAATACAGTATAGTGATCCAAAACACGTCAGGTTACCTTTATGTACTGTATATGAAAATCACACACACACACACACGCGCACACATACACACACACGCACACACATACACACACACACACACACACACACACAGTACTAAAAGGAAGAAGGTGAATAAGAAACAGTTATGATAGAACAGTAATATGCGATACTGCTGAATTGCATCTTCCAAACACGCTCATTTGAGATCTAGCGACACCAGACACTTGGTGTCACGAAAGGACGAACCCGATTTTCTTTGTTCTTTTAACTTTGCAGAAAAAGTTGAAATTATTCTTGTTTTTAGTTTTATTTTATGTTCTTAAAACAATTTGTTTGGGTCAGTGCGATTTATTTGGTGCGGGAGGGCAGGGATGAGTTACGTTAAATTTCGAATCACCAACTGCTGTAGTGTCAAAACATTGAATTGTGTTGAATCCCAGTCAGACGCTTCGCCATACGTGGCGGTAAGGACCGGAAATGTGGTGTAGACAGATGGGCAATGTGTATGGACCGGGTAACGGAAGTTAAGTATGACCTCAACAGTCACTGTTATGAGCGATCCACAGTACTAACACATGTCCCACGTCATCGTAGTCTAGTAGTACTGTGCAGTCGTTAAAATTTATAAGAGGTTCATTTAAGTTTGTCTAAAACTTGGGTTACATTGTATTAGTTACTTGATGTACAATAATTAAGTAGGCTTGTTTGATCAAATTATACGACTGGATACTTGATGTTTAAATAGGGTTATTAAACTCCTGATGTAGACCACGATAATTCGTCAAAAAAGTGATTTTATTTGGTGAGACTTGTTTAGGTGTTTTAACATGCTCTTGCTTGGCCTGTTGGAGGTGTACCAGGAAAAATGAGAGGGTAATGTGTTGTCTGATGCTGCTGTACAGTAGGTTACGTTATGCATGGATCACTTCATTGGCAGGTTTGTGGTGTCATTACTCTCTCTCGCTCTCTGCATAACTGGAATTATTAAGACAACTTTAAAATGTTTATGAGCATATGTTAATTTTACTTTATATTTATTACGATGTAAATTGAATGTACAACCACAATAGTTTCTCCAGCCGTTTACCTTATCGGTTATTGACAGTCGGACGCCATCGAGTTCCGACCCCCTTTACGCTGAACCATTTGCCTAGTAGTGAAACCTGATCTTATTGATAGTTTATGGTTGATGATATTTACATCAGATATAATTCTCGCTATTGATATCTTTCAAGTACACTGAACACTAGTAATTTGCGGTTCCTGATGTTCGCGGGTCGCAGCTGGGCCGTATTCCTAGCCTCAGTACTGTACCGTACACGCTTCTCCCTCCCAGTCCTGGAAACTTTAGGAAACCTGTACAGTACACGTTTCAACGCTTGTGTCCGTTATATCCCGTTTCACATTGTCTCTCAAATCATAAATATTTCCTAAATATTTCCATTGCTCTTTTGATTGTTGATGATGTGTGTCTGATTAAAAATGTGTACAGTATGCATCGGAAATACTGCTTCTGTCCCATCAGCGAAGCAAACATTGAGACTAGTTAGCAGAGTTGCCAACTTAGCGACTTTGTAGCTAGATCTAGAGCTTTTTGTTTTTTTCTAGCGACATTTTAGAGCGATTTGCGACTTGTCGCAAATCTAGAGATATCCACAGAAATCTAGCGACTTTCTGGATACTTTTGGACTGTCCATGAAAACTCAGTTTTCCTAATTTCGAGCCATAATATATAGCAACGGGGTTACAGGGACAATAAATAATAAGAAAAGTTTAATACATTTGAACGGGTCGTGGTACAGAAGGAGGGACACGTCTATTTCCTGATCACTTGATGTCAGCCCGTCCATGCATCTAACACCCTAAAATTGTGGTCAGAAGTGGCAAATTACAGAGATGCGACAGGTGAAAACCCTTACCATGATCTGGCTGAAATTGCACTCGCTGCCTTATCTCTTCCGCATTCAAACGCAGATGTAGAGCGCACATTTAGTAATATGAACTTTGTGAAATCAAAATTGCGCAACAAAATGAAACTATCGACATTAAAGGCAATTCTTACAATAAAGTAAGGGTTAAAAAGACAGAACACCTGTTGTGCAAGTTATGAACTTCCTAGTGATATTTTAAGAAAGATAGGGACTGTGGAGGCATACAGTTACAAGAGAACCTGAACCAAGCACTTCACATGCTTCCAGCTCTACAGTTGTTCACACTGCCGACGACTACGAAGAGGACTGGGATGCAATTACTATTGAATAATAGGTAAGTGTGCACATTAAACTTTAAACAAAATAATATTTTTATTTTTACATAATGCATTTTATTTATACTTCGTCCATTATAGTCGTCATTATGAAAATATTATTTGCATCAAATTATTGAAGGGGGGGGAATAATAGCTAGCGACTTTCCATGGAAGATTTAGCGACATTTAGCTACTTTTAGGTACCAGCCTAGCGACATTTGAAAATCCGAGTTGGCAACCCTGCTAGTTAGTACAGTACTTGGATGGGTTACCGCTTGGCCTTAGAGCACCAGATGCTGCTGACATAAGGACTACTGGAAATAAGCATCCCATGACTTTGTCAGCTGTACTGTACGATGTAAACATGACACTTTGTCTTCTAACCAACACTGCTACTTTTTGTCATGGCACCTACGAGGAAAGCGTGGTGTGAAGCAGTGAGACATTTCAAACTTACAAGGGGGTAAAAACTGTTGCTGTTAACCCAGAAAGTGGAGTTAACGGACATACTTGGTGAAGGGTGGCATCAGTGGGTGAGCAGATGAGCACTACTACTGGGTTTAGACGCGTGTGTCTTGTTGATGGTGGTGACAAGTGTACTGTACCGTACCTTAACCACAATCTCCCAGCAGGGTTCCAGAATATTCTTTGCTCTGTGCCGCCTAGTGCTTCTTCTCTTGTAACACTGCCACTTGATTTTAAAACCAACACCATTACCACTAGATTTATCACCACCAAGTCACCACTACCACTTAATTTACCACTACCACCAGTTTAGTTATCCCAACACTTCTACAAGGGCCTTAAAAACACTAGTGTGCTCTATTATTATTATTATTGTTATTATTATTATTATTATTATTATTATTATTATTATTATTATTATTATTATTATTATTATTATTATTATTATGCTGGTATTGAAACTACGGGAACCTTTATTATTTCACTGTTATAGGTACTGCACTCGCATCATCAGTGCAGGATTTCTACAACAAAAACTCGTGTGTAGTGGTCCCTTTCATTTCTCCATTATTAATTACAACCTGATCTATGCGGTATATGAGGGCTGTCACTAGTCACGTAAAATTTCGGAGCATATCGACCCCCACGTGCACAGATAGTTGTTTTAGTTACTGTACAATACTTGTACACTAAAGCTGTTACTGTATTGCAATAAAATACAAAATTTTGGTTTTATTGCGAGGGGTGGGGGGGGATGAATACTGTACAGTAATAAATTTATGGTTAATTTTTCATTTTACTGTTCAATTGATGGCATTAAAGGGCTCTAACTTTGTACATAGGGAGTGAACATTCCAGTAATGGATGACTATTGCTTCCTGGAGCTTATCTTTTGTTTTCCTCTGATATTTTATTTTTTTTTTTAAATAAAGTTGCTCCATTGGGACTCCGTTTAATATTTCTTGTGTTTTACTAAGTGCGTAAAACAGTTCTGTACAAGTTTTTCCAAATATAATTATGTATGGTACATAACTACAGCATAGTGTGTAAGGAAGAAATATACAGTGCAAATACCATCAGTAGTGACGTACTGTACACCAATTTGTTAGTGATTATTTATTTATTTATTTTATAATGCTTATGTATTTTTTCTTCGGGGATTAGCCCACCCGGGCACTGGTCACCACTGACCCACATCGGGGCCTGGAGGGCGAAATTATACTACCTGTACTAATAATAATAATTATAGTTATAATAAAAATAATGAAGAACCATAAATAATGCCTAAAAAGATCAACAGTGAGAACCGATAATACAGTATGTACAGTATGTTGTGTTGTCAAGGTAAGAGAAACAATTGAAACCCTGTAATTGTGTGTAAATGAGGCAGAAAGTGAGATCAGCAACCTGGGACTTGGTCAAAATTTTTTTGATGCCATATGGCAGCAGGGTCTACCATTAGACAACACATTATGCTTCCAATATCTTCCCAGACGGTAGTACCTCCCTGTTTGATAGCTGCCTACTACCTGTATTTATTAATTTGTGTTTAAAATGTCTGTGCGGTTAGGATATTTATTTATCTTTTCTTACTTTGTAAGGATACTTTGTATATTAAATTGTAAGGTTTTTAATACCGATGTGCATTAAGAGCAGGAAGGGTCATCTTGACACCTGCCAAAGACCATCTCTGCCTCACTAACCAGTGTTGGGGAGGGTACATCAACAATGGTCAAAACAAATGGCGGTGATTCATGCACGTTTATGAGACACTTGTTTATTCTAATCACATGTTGCATTCTAGCAGCAAGAAGTAAGAAATGTGTTTACAGATTAAAGGTTGCCTCAGGAAGAGCAGTTAGAAAATGTAATGTTATGGCAGAAGGATGATTTGAAAAGCAGTAAGACAGTAATAAAGCACAAAATAACATTAAGAAATAGGGTCAATTCTTTTGTTGGTTTTTATTATTTTACCCTTTTGATCAGTCTTGTTTGCATATTGCAGTTGTCTGTGGACTGGTTTTATGCTGTTACTCTTTGGAAGAGAACACCAAAAGTTATCTTGCCAAACAACAGTTACTAACAACTGTAATGGATCAGTATCCAGGGCACAAAACTGATGACTTGGTTACTAAAGTTTTGGGACCCAGTGATAAAAAAATACTATGAAGAGAAAATGGAAAAAAAAAGTGGTGGTGGCAGAAAGTTTATACTCATGCAAAGATGGATGTTTTACCCTGTGTCCCCTCCTCTTCTCTCTACCCCCAACTTGATATGGTTAAAACTAGAAAATGTCCATAATGCAGCCATTGACAAATCTGTAGTAAGGAACAATGTATGAATGAAGACTTCTTTCTTTTGCAGATGTATGGGGGAGCTTCTACTTACCCTTCCTGTACTCTCTCATCTCGTGTCTGGGTGTCCTGATGCTCCTTTGTAAGTATTGTACACGCTTAAAAGATTTATTTGAGGTCAAAGTGGTTTTGTGGGCACTCAGAGGAGTTTTACTGAACTGCCAGAATTTTCACATGCGACTCATATTTTGTGGTAAGAATGTATATGGCAGAATAATTTTTAGATTTTGACCATAGGAAAATGAGATCTGTCTTTTGTAAGTGAATCTGTGAGGTGTATGATGGACTCCCAGTGCATTATTCATCAGGGTGAAATTTTATAAAGAGCAACATCTGGGTTATTAATTCCATTTAGATCTGCAGGAATTTGTTAGCTCTTGGTATTGGTTGAAGGATATGTATCAGTAAACATATCTGAAGATGTTTTAAAGTTCTACTCTGCACACATTTATTAAAACAAATGTACAGGTATCAATTTTGTCTGCAGTGTGCACACCTGTTGGGCTGGCCCACTTGTTTACTGCCATGGGGAGATTGATGGTTAAACCTGGATTTTTACGAGACCTGGCTGAAGAGTACCAGGCTGCTGTGATGAAAGAGGATGCTCTGGCCCGCCGGCTAGCACGCCCATTACGCCCACATGCCAGACCCATCACTCGTTCTATTGCTAATGCCCCTACTACAGAGGAGCTTTTACAACAATATCACGCCATAAAGAAAACAAGAATTAAATTAGGTATGTATGAATTTATTTATGGTTGTCTGCTACTCCAGAAAAACTAGATAATGTATAGAGGTTTGTTTACCTTAGGAAAACATGTGTTGTTGTCTTCTACAAAAAGAATATGTACAGTATAGATTTGTGTGTAGTGCATCTGTAGTAATCTTCCACAGAAAAGAATGCATGTGCAATAAAATTATGTTTGTGAATCGTAATTTCAGAAGAGACTTCTTTTAGGATGGATTTAAAGAAAGGTTCTCTGTGCTGTACAGTATATACATGAAGTTATTTTCTTGGCAGATGAGCGTCGTCGAGCTGGGATTTTTCAGCGCACTCTAGCATATCCCCTGGCACTGCTGTTCTTGCTGGCCTTAACTGGCACAGCTGTGGTCCTAGTGGGGCTCAACACCTTACAGTTACTTGTTGGTATAAAGGCCCTGCCACTAGCCTCAGCCCCAGCCATACTAGGAGAAGCCCAGCAGGGCAAGGTAAGAAAGACTCCAGCTACATTTGAAGACCTAATAATGTTTGCAGGAGGAGAGTGAGTATGGGAGTCATAAGAACATAAGAATGGATGAAACTGCAGCGGGCCTATTGGCTCATGCTGGGCAGTCCCATTTACACCCAACCCCTATCGATTATATATCTATCCAACATATATTTGAAGCTATCCAGCGTGTTAGAGTTAATGATGATGTTTGGTAACATGTTCCACTCATCCACTACTCTATTTCCAAACCAGTGTTTACCTATCTTGCGCCAAAATCTAAATTTGTCTAATTTAAAACCATTGCTACGAGTTTGCTCCTGGTTGGATAGTTTGAGTGCCTTTGTTAAATCGCCTTTGTTTAGCCCTGACTTCCTTTATACACCTCGATCATATCGCCCCTCACTCTACGTCTCCCTAATGAGTGCAAATTGAGATGCGTTATCCTGTCTCTATACTCGAGGTTCCTAATGTCCGGGATTAGTCTTGTCATTTTCCTCTGGATTCTCTCTTGAGATTCTATATCCGTTCTGTAGTATGGTGACCAGAACTGAACTGCGTAATCCAAGTGAGGTCTCGCAAGCACAAGATATAGTTTTAGAATAACATCGTTAGTCTTGTAACTAACACTCCTTTGTATGAACCCAAGTACTTTGTTAGCCTTATTTCGAGCAAATGCACATTGTTCACCTGGTTTAAGATTCCTACTTATCATTACTCCTAAATCTTTCTCAGTCAGATTTCTCTCTATCAGCATTGTTCATCTGATATCTGGTTTCTCTATTTACATCTCCTTGACTAAGTACTTTACATTTGTCCACATTAAATTTCATCTGTTATCTGCCATGCGAAATTTTTTTTAGAACTTCCTGTAGTTTTGCGGAGTCATCGTCAGATTTAATTACGCTCCCTATTTTAGTGTCGTCAGCAATTTACTTATGTTGCTGTCTATGCCTATATCTGTGTTGTTTATGTATATAATAAATAATCATTAGATGCTTTAGTACCCCTTTTGGATTTGTGGTGAATCTGCATGCCTATCATAATTTATATGAAGAATAAGCGTACTCTAAATTGTATTAAGATTAGATGAATGGATAATTTTTATGATTTTAAATAACCACTGTGACCTGCACATGATCCAGATTCATGATTTGTCAATTGATATCTTAGAGCATTTGTCATGGCCATCTAGCCTTTACCACTCAACCCTCATTATGGTTTTTGAATGTACAGTACTGTACTGCATTGTTGGTGTTCAGGATCAGCAGCAGGGTTGTCTGAATTATGAGGTCTGGGAATTGAATTGAACTTTTATTATTCTTTAGTCATTACCGTATTTTTTGGCGTAGAAGATGCTGCATCGTGGAAGACTCGCCCTGATTTGGAAATGTAATTCTAGGAAAAAAACTTTTTATACTTACCAACCGACACCAGTGAAACTGTTGCTTTATATACAGCCATTTTTGCACAAGTACACACACCTCTTTGAATATCATCACTTAGAACTGCTTATCAGTCGTCATTTTCATATATTTTTAATAAAAAATTTGTATAAGAAGTGGAAATATTTAATACAGCACTCATTTTATACACCTGGTCACCTCCGCTGTAGTGTTTACATTCTTTCTCTTGATTATGTCGGTATGACAATGACGCAGTTCCTCAATAGATGGCACTGCCGTACCAGTGCCATTAGTAAACAAACCGCACAGCAGCAAGGGTTGTGTAGTTACAGCCGTCTATTTTTTTATTTCTTACCTACTGAGTAAGTAAATAATCGTATTTTTCGCACTACAGGTATATCAACAATATTAGTTAATCAATTGTTTTATAGTATAGAGAATACTTATAATTGCTAAGTAATGAGGTAACAGTCTTTGTAAGGGGCTGATTTCAGTTGACCTTAAGAAAACCTCTGCTACAACCCATCAACTAGCATCGTGGAAGACGCACGGTAATTTTCAAGGTATATTTTTGTAATAAAAAGTGCATTTTCTACGCCGCAAAATATGGTATAAGCCAGCAATTAGGGATTTGCCCTTGCAGATGAAATGTTATTAGTCAAAGATAATGAGCACCAAGCCATATATAATATTTTGTACATTGCATGTTTACATCCTTATGCCTTTGACATCAGATATACCTCCCTACATTTTAAGGATAGCCACCTACTTTTCCGGAAATTTACCCCCCTGTACAGTACTATGGACCAGTGTAGCTGTTCTAGCTTTGCTTAGGGATATGTGTATAGATAGATAGATCAACAATATTGTTGATATCATGAAAATCATGTTCTTTTCAGCGGACAGTGCTTCTCTCAGTGCTGGGGCCTGTTGGTGCTGTGTTGGAGGTTGTGCTCATCTTGTACCTGATCGCTGCATCCCTGCTGGGTTGCTACTCCCTGCCCATCATAGCTAAGATCCGTCCCCGGCCAGGAGACACTCCCATGGTGCACGTCATTGCCAACTGTGTTGTGGTACTAATTCTTTCCAGTGCTTTGCCTCTCTTGGCTAGAACGCTTGGTGAGTGTGTCCACCTTGAGTTTTTATATAACTAATGGTGTTTTCGTATTCATAAATTTGAGTTGCATTATTATACAATAGCTGAAGCATGGGATTTTTAGTGGCCAACAGAGGGTTGATCTGAGTGGGCAAGTGTGGGGGTATCATAATCACCTTGATGTAAGCCAACTGTTTATTAAATATATGCACATACAACTCCTCCCCGACTTACGACGGGGTTAGGGACCCAAATCCAGGTCGTAAGTCGAAAATGCTTAAATAATACATAGAAAATCTAAAATGGGTGTCTCTTTTTCTTCTCAGCACCACAAAACTCTCACTTTTAAGCTTGCCAACTATTTTAAAGTGAATTACAAAATTTTTTTTTGTCTGTACTGACATTGGGACTCGAAAATACGTAATTTGACCAAATTTTGGTACGACTGAGGCAGGTTGTAAGTGCGGGTGGTCGTAAGTCGGGGAGGAGCTGTATTTTGATTCAGTAGATCTTAATCATATTGGAAATTAATTTATAATTTTCTACAGGTCTTGTACCGAGTTTTCTTTGTCATATTTGAGGTATCTCTAATTTTTTTTACCAAGCATCTTAAATTTTAAATCTTTCTCTGGTATTCTTCTATAGCTGATAATGCTAAGTGCTTTCATAATTACTGAAATACCACGGCAACTTGAGTTTTTTATATGATAATAAAGAGGATGGATAACTTCATCCTGAGTGGTTAGTTGTATGCAGTATTTATTCTTTTATCTAGTCATGGAAAAGCTTCATTCATGTCTGAAATATTATATCAGTGATGACATTGTGTAAATGGCTCTGTGTTCACTATCAGGAGCACTTGCCAATGGTGGAATAACATTTCAATGGAGTAACATCTACCCAAAGGGTTGAATGCTAAGAATTGGGAGGTGAAGACCTATCCAGCAACTCTGCTTCATGATCATGGAAGGAAAAGAATTGTAAGATATAATTTTGTTTACACCATCTGGGATGAAGTATTGTATAATGTGGAGAGATGATGCTCTCTTTCAGTGGGGATCAGTGCCAGGTTCCCTATTAACTCATTAAAGATTACCATTTCTCATTTCTAAATACTGTACTAGTCTAATGTTAATCTTTTTCTGCTCTTTATACAGTCCACTGATTTTTATTTACTTGTTGTTAAGTATTGTCCATAGAAATGTTATTACAGTATGCACGGATAATTCGCGGATTTTAATTTCGCGGTCCTCTATTATTCGTGGATGACACCCTGGATGTACCCAAGAATGTCTGTGGATAGTTTTAAAGTTGCCGGCTGGGACAGGGAGCCATTCGTCTTAGAGACCGTAATTTCCTTTACCTGTATTTTTTGTGTGTGTAATGATAATAATAATTATTATTATTAACGGTTTATTAAGATAACATGGCAGCCTGAAGGCTGAAAATATACAATGAACAGAGGTGATAAGTTACATATGGTGAAATTGGGAAGTGGGTCACTTGATTGAAAGCTTTCAATATGAAAACATAAGAAACATAGAGTCAACATATAAATTAACTATAGAGCTGATCTGTAGACATTCTTGTGACCTGATGTCGGTGCCAACAAAGTCCTTCCCACTGTTTTGATGGCTATTGTACCTGACTGCTAAGCTGCTACCTCACTACAGCTGCAGATGCACCACGTGGTCCGGGTAGGTCCTCCAGCTCACACAGGGTGTTGGAGATGGTTCATATTCCTCATATGATGTAGTTAGGAATTCATAGTTCCTCACCTGGGTGGAGTAGGGAGTCCTCATTTCTCTCCTGGTGTAGTTTGGAGTGTTTCTTGGCTTCTCATCCAGTGTTGGGGGTGGCGAGTGTACCGCGTGCTGGGTGAGTCAGGTCAAGGTGTCAGGTCAACATTGGCCGCTAAGTACTGAGTGTCGCTCTAACAGTTGTTTCTTCCTTTCGAGTTGAAATTTTCACTTTTGTATATCAGTTGTGGGTTGATCATCAATCTTTGCACTGTAATGTTGGTGGGAGGATGTTGATAAATCCAGATGGGGAGGAGGAGATGGGGAAAGGGAAGGCCCGACAGACCAGGCTGGCAGCTGTCTTCATGGTCAAGAGACCATGGAGACTACGCACGTCCTTACCCTATGAAGGCTGAAGGAAGTGTGTGTGCGTGTGCACGTGCTACACAAAATGTATACAAATAAATAAAATGGGGAAAATCCTCTTACAAATAATCAGAAACGAATGTATATTTTAAATGTTGAGTCTACCCTGAAGTCTACTTCATGCTTTATTAATAACAAAATATGGAGTGGAATGTAGGGTAGACTCAACATTTTTAATACATTTCTTTCTGATTGTATATTGTATGATACTCAGGTGGTCCTTGCACTCAGGGGTAAAGGAAACACTCTGATGTCAAGTCCGTAAGTTCTATTCCTGGTACAAACACAAAGGAGTTGAGACAAGGGTAAACAGCGTCCTGTCTTGGAATCTCTCTGGGTATCTCTTTGCGCATGCGCGCTGTATGCGCATGCGCCCAAAGCATGAACTAACACTTGGTGACAAAAGGGAGTATGATTATAACATATAATACAGAGACCTGAATCAATAATGGTAAATAGTACAGAGTTACATATTACAGGCATATTCGTCTCATATATCTACATATATATGTATAGGGGTGTACAGTATTGTATTGTATATATGTGTGTGTGTCTACTCACAAACATATATTACAATACCGATTAAAGAAATAGTTGTCTTAAGGGCAAACACACAAAGGGAATATACACTTCTTTGTACACAAGTAAAAATGTAACACACACACACACACCCCCCGGTAAGCGAATGTTATTCGTGGATTTGGCGATTCGCAGCCATTTTGAGAACCTAACCCCTGCGAATTTGAAGGGCATTCTGTACAGGTATGTGTTTTTCTCTTAGAAGTGAGGGATAATTGAAGAGATAATGTTCAAACAGTGAAAAACTAACCTTAATTAATCTCTCTCTCAAGGGATCACAAACTTTGACTTGCTGGGTGACTTTGGCAAGATCAGCTGGTTGGGTAACTTTTGGATAGTGTTGGGCTACAATATCTTGTTTGCCACTGCGGCAGCGTGGTGTTTGGTGAAGAAGTTTACTGCAACCATCAGACACGAGATATATATGAGGTGAGTGCATTCACAAAATATGAAACATTGTGAGAGAGTCTGGTGACAGAATACACATTTTAATGTACATAATACAGTATACGTATATGTTTGTTGTCATCTCATATCTTTAATACAGTATACTGCAATGATAATTTTGTGAAATACTATTATTTTATTTTATTTGCAGTAATTGTGTTAGCTCTTTAAGAATGAATGTAAACCTGAAAATTATTGATACAGATTTAAGCTGCTGGCCATGTGGCTTGTGAAGCGTGACACCTTCAAGTTACCAGCGCACGTCATGAATGGAAGCATGATAAACCCAGGGAATCTAAAAGAGGAGTAGAAAGGATGTTTGGGTATGGAGACCCAAATCTGAAAGACCCAGGGTATGTGAAGTTGCAGGTACCGTAAAATGAATCTTTTGTGTAATATATAATTTGTTTAACTATGGTTTTACACAAGAGAAATCTCTTCTTTTGTCTCATGGTTTAACATTACCTTGGGAAGTTACACAGAAGGTTAACCCTGGCCATGTCTGTCTCACCCATAGTCACATATGGTTGATGTGCATTGCATGTTGCAGCATTCAAAGCATTATTTTTACAGAAACAAAGAATTGATTACTTATGAGTTAAAAGATTCAATGAGTATTTGATGACAGTAAATAAAAAATCCAGTAGTATTGTATTCAAAAATAATTCTCATTTAGCAAAATGCTTCATAAACTTTAGGAAGCAAATATAATGTGATCTACAAAGAAAATAACAAATGAGAGGACTGTATTAGGTAGAGGACAGCCATAGGTGGTAGAGTGTACATTTTGGCAGACTGTAGTATAATACTGCATGTGGAAGTCAGTATAGTGTTGGTGGAAGTTAAATAAGTACGATAAATACAGTGCTAGATAATTGAAACGTGATCTGTGTACACAATGCCAGAGCAAAGTTTTGTTTACCAAATCCACTTCGAATCATATCCTATCTTAAGGTAAGACCCATCAACAAAACTTTAAACATTCAATAAAAGACTTGTTGGTGTGACCACTACTTATGCAGTCACTATTTGTTCAACTAAGAGATAAAAAAAATATGAGGAAGAAATTGGAGTATCACGGCAGCTTTTGTCAGTAACTGGATTTTCAGTCAAGTGAGTATTCCCCATATTGATGTGTTGCAGTGACAAAAATGGAATTTCTGGGTTAGTATTGTTAGAGGTTATGTTATATTGTTGCATTGCATCACATGTCCATGTCACTAACATCAAGTATATATGGTATCTTTATATTATGGTATACTCGTTTATACAGTATTGTACTGTATATGTTACTCAGTTTTTTGAGAAGTGAAAATGTTGTCATTCTGTTCAAAATTGCTCCCCAAATGCTGTCATGATATATTCCAGAAGTGCTGGTGGATGATGTTGAACTGTATATAATGTTTCAGATCAGGAATATTTATGTATCATACTTAATCTTCTAAGCATTTAGGAGTCCGCTATATAATTCATTACCTTATGGATTGTATTATAGCCTCCCAAGTTGACAGTTTTCCTACCCTGAGTGGCACAGCACCCAGCTGTGTGTTGTAATTAAAGTTAGTTACAAGCAACCATGACTGCCAGTTAAAATCTGAATGCTCAGTTAGCAATTTTTAGTACAGCCAACACTAGTGTCCAGTTTGCAGTATGTTGACAAACTGAGTATAATGCTTCCATGGTCAACTAGGCAAATTTTGGGCAAATGTTTCAGTGAGAATTGGTGTTGGTGTTATTAAAGTACTGATGACCATTGTGAAACCCAAGGTGCTTTGGATTTACATGGCCCAGTCTGTTTTGGGATTTTTTTTATCACTGAACTTGAAATTGGCCTTGATCCCTGGGTGTGTCTGTTCATAATTACAGGAAGTGGACATTGTACAGTATAAGAAAGTTCTTAATGGTGTGGTCCCATTCTAGTCAACAGAAAATCTTAAGAGGAATATACAGTAAGTCTAGTAAGCATGAAACCAACAGGAACAATTTTCATTGGTAAAGACAAATGTGTATTAGAGATTGAATGAAATGATATGTATACTGTAATATTCTTTAGGAGGCTCTCAGGTAATTTGCTAAAGAGTATTAATGTCAACAAGTATAGTACTAAATAAGTATGTTGCAATACTTTACTAAAGTTGCAAATATGAATACAGTAATAACACTAACAAGAATTTCTATTATTTTTATTAGCTGAACATTATCATCATTCCTAATAATTTTAATAATCCACAACCTTTGTCAAGAACATAGCAGCAGGAGGATTTTATTAGCCTTGATTAATTTATATATAATGTAAGAAAACATAATTGTTCCCAACTTATTGAAGCATAGTCTCTTTGTTTATCAACCAGATAACTGTGTGGGGTTACAGGGACTGAGGGCAGTGATGGCTCCTATTGTTTAAAAGTCATCAAGGTTCCTCACGTAGGTTGTGCAATTGTCTTCATTTACTGGAGAAAGTATCATATTGAAAAGACATTATATATTCACATGCTTATTCAGATTCATATTTTTTTAATTACTTATTTCAGAACTTCTTTTGTAAAACAAACACAGAATAATTATGGAATTTGATTATTTTCTGGTGATATGTTTTGCTAAATTCCATGCTTATCTCGCTTTTTTATTTATTTATTATTATATTTTTTATAACTGAATACTCAATGAACGACGACCTAGGGAGGTTTTTTGTTTTGTTTGTGTACCCCTCAACTATTTCATCCACATGAAGATATAACAGAGTTGTGGGTACCAAGTATAAACAATATGGACACTGAATTTATGAATTTATTAAGAAGGAAATATCAGAAAAATATGTATGAAGTGTACTGTATATTTTCTTTTTCTTAAAAGATTATGAGGTGACATTGAAAGAATACTTAAGACAGATAATAATGCAAGTACAGATCTATAGTTATTTTCCACATTACCAAAATTATATTGGTTCTCATTTTACTGTAATGTAGAAATGTGAGGAAGCTTTGTAACCTTGTATGATGAAATGAAATGCCAGTAGTAGCTGATTATTATAATGGCAGTCAATGGGCATCTTACAGGGACTCCTAAATTTTCTTGAGATGGTCTTGGTGTCTCTTTGGCTTGAATATTAATGTACATGTACAGTATTGTTAAGTATGATGCCCATCTGTTGGGGTCTGTTCCTACCACATGGCACTGTGACTTTGGTTCTGATTTCTGTTACTGGGATATTTAATGAAAGGGTAAACAAAAATCTTAAGTAAAGGAGTGTTGTATCACAAACATTTCATGGGAATATGTAAGAGGTCCCTTGAATTGTTTTGTAATCAAACATAAGAAGTTAGTGTGTTACATAAAACAATTGCAAAACACAAAAACATTCTTAAGTATTAATGGCAAAGTAAGTCTGGTGTTTGCTTAGACTCAATTGATTTTGGAGTAAGCAAGTCATGATCAGAGGTTTATCCAACACTGCTGGTGCCAAATTGAAGCAAATTAGCTGTTATGAAACATGTTAAGTTGGTTGTTGATCATTAAAGAAATTTTTTTTTTTAATTTAACATAGGAGTACAGTACCAAATTAGATCAGGTATCATTTGATAGATTGGGCACTGGCCAAAAAAAACCCCATCATTTGGTTTTGGAAAAAGTTCATCAAAGGTTAAATTCATACATCTTATAAGGCTCTTTGGTTGAACACAGTTCAGTGCAGACCTTTTTGAAATACAAACCTAATTTAATTTTGTGAATGATCATAATCTTATACAGTATAAGAGGGGGGTGCTTTTCCAAACAAAATTACACTGACCTTGACCTTTGAGTATTGATTCCAAAATCAATTGTCCTGTGTGTCTTTAAGGGCATCTAATAGGAAAATTGATGAAGGTTTGAACTGAAAAAGATAAATCGTGCAGAAACCATTGTTTAACAGCAAACAGCAATTAGTGTATGAAAAATGACTCATAAGAGGGAAAGCAGGCTCTTCAGTTAGTGCATCTCAAAACAAAAGAAATTGCAAGAGAATTTTACTTCTGGTTGTTTATGCTGAAAAGGGTAATTAAATTTTCCCAAAGTATTTATGCTGCAATAGATTTCTAGGGGGTTATTTAGTCATAAGTTTTATAGCGAGTTAAAAGTGAATGTACATCACGTGAATAGTAATGTTGGTTTCATTTTCAAATCATTCATGCACAACATACATACAGTACTAGTCATGGGAATGGATTTGCAAATACAGTATGCAGAATACATGGACTAATGTTAGAATTTTGTTTAAAGACTTCCTTGGTAGCATGTAGAAAATGAAATTGATTATAGTTAGTCTTTATCTACTGTCAGCTTATAAGAGATATCATAAATGGAAAGGAAGTTTTTATTATAATAATAATAATAATCATCATCATCATTATTGTTGTTGAATTGTAAATAATATTGGCTTTTTCTCACTTCATGTGGTCTTACCTGTGTTGTGTACCTTCTTCAAAGCTGCAGTCAAATTCTCCAAGTTAAGTGTAAAAATGTTTTGGTTGTGCATTTATGGGATGACTTATGCAAGCAGCAGTCAGTATGAATAAGAATCACACAACTCTCATCCTTCATATTGGTAGTTGATAAAATTTATAACACAAGGAAAGACGCTTGTGATGACACTGAATGAATAAGGTCTTTTAAGCCTTCGATTGACTATGGTTTGAGAAGACAGTATCTTCTGACTGTTAGCATACAAGGAATTCAATGTTTAATTCACTGAAGTTACAGGGAACATGAATGTGAATGCTAATATTATTTGTCAGTGTTGGTCAGAAGTGTAGAGGATTGTCAAGTCTGAATTTGTTATTCATCAAGGTAACACAAATTATGAAGGAGCTTTATGTAAAGTTTCAGGAAACTGCAATGGTACAATGTTGTAGTATTTATTATTTTCTGCTGAGAATGTTACATTTGTGGGTGTTCAGAAAACATTGTTAACTAAGTTAAAGTGTGCTTATGTTTATCATGCTGGTTAAGTAATTAGTTCATCTTTAACTGTACAATGAAATATTACCTAGTCTACAGTAAAATATTCTACACACACACACACACACACATCATTACTGAAAAAATCATACCAGTGATAATCCTGGCAGGAGCTGGTCTGGGGAATTCTTTTCCTAGTTGTGTTGCTACTCTGGCAATCATTTGAGGTTTCATTGTGTTTTCTGAACATGCACTTTTATGTTGAATGATTGACCTGTTGAAAAGCCAGATGATCTGTTACCCATATGTAAATCACTCACAACCAAAGACTTCTGTAAAAATCTTAGCAATAGACTTTTTTGTTATTTCTTAAGCTCATTCATATACGATGCTTTTTATCTTTGCTCAAATGTACAGGGATATGTTTTGTGCTCCAGATTGCACATTACTGGCATCTATGTAATATGTTATGGTTTTTAATAATAGATTGTATTTGTTTTTTCTTGTGTTGTTTTGTATCTAGTATATATAATTTTTGTATTATTGCAAGGTCAGATGAGTGGGATTTTTTTTTTTTACCTTTTTTATTGTATGATAATTTTGATATATTTATGTATACATTTTTTACATGTGTAAGATATGATATTAGCATATGGAGCATCAGTAATTACATCATGCTGCATTTGGTGTGATGGATGAAAAAACACTAAGGTCATGATGGGAATCCATCTTTTTTTTTCTCTCTCTAGGTGTTTAGTCAAGTTTTGAAAAACCAGAAAGCAGTCAAGTTGTGTGTAAAGTAATTTGGCAACCCACAGATAGGATTTCACTCAAATTCAAGTAATGTACCCATATTATCCTGTAATTGGATGAATTCACTACATTTCTTCGGACTTGAACACCTTTGATTTGCTGAACCATAGGATTATAGATATCCTTCTACTATTTACAAATTTGTCATTTTGTGTGTCAACAGTACCAACAAGACCTCTGCAGCATATAACTAAACAAATAGTTATATCATGACAGAGTTCTTTGAATTATTTCTGGTGTAAGTTTCATTATAAATGCTGGTGATACATGAAGACAAATTTTAGTAATTTTTTCCAATATGACCAACTCTCTGTGCATGTGGCAAGAGAAAAATTGGCTGTTAGGCGAGAGATACGAGTGGTTTGAGTGGTGATGGTAGCTATTGGAAGGGAACAGAAAAGCTCATGCATATTGGAAAAGGAGTTTGAGGCAGTTGTGGGTGAGAAGATGGTGCGAGTGTATCAACATGTTGCTTTAAAGTTATTTGTGCACTTGTTGCAGAAATGTTGAGCCCAGTCATTTATTTTTTTCTTCTTTTATATATACACCAAGATCTTTCCTGTATTAGTCTTTTAGGGACAATTAGCTTTATAAATTCACGAAGGAAACTTTATTTCAATACCTTGTTAAAGGATATCAGGGATGTTTCATGATCCAGAATTTCACTCTCATTTAACCCCATCAGTGGTGAGCCTGTAAGTATCCTTGCAAGCATTTACTATTGAGTTATGTTCCCACAAATTTACAATATATCGTTTAGCCCCCACAGTTTGTGCGCTTCAGTGTGATGCTAGACAGGCAATTAATTGCTTCAGTGTGATGCTAGACAGGAAATTCATGACATCAGTGAGGGTTTTCCCAGAACTGTGGTGAGTACTATGGTTATATGTTTAACTTAATATTTAGGATAAACCCCCACTAAATTGCAGGGTGGGGGGGGGGTGGGGGTGGGGTTCCCACCAGCCAGCCACCCACTCTGGGCAGCATTCCTTATTACCACTGAAGGGGTTAATTCATCATGATTGTATCTTCACTTTCATAACATAAATGACATCTGAATGAGAATAACTGATATTTCATGTGTTTTGGTTAAGCATTAGGCATCATAAATGTTTCATTATCTTTCTCTTAGTGTCAGGCAATGCACGGTTCCAGTCACTGTATCATAATTTGCCATTCAGTGAATGCTTTAAAGTTCACACAATCTTGTATTGCCTGGAAATACACTACAGTACATTGAACTTAGTTTTCAAAACCCTAATTACAAGAATATTCGTATTTACACAAGTATGACATATAAAGATATGTTTAACTTTAAAGATTCAAGACCCCTTAAAAAAAGTAGAAAAATCCACTAAGGTGGCAACAGTTTCACATGTAAGCCCTTTGGGGTTTTGTGACAAGATGGTTCTTACATTTGTTTACTGTGGTCTATGTCTGTCTCACCTTGTCATGTTTGGGAATGTGGAGATTTCTGTGTGTTTTATGTACTTTCGTAGTGTTTAAGGAAATTTGATAAAATTTTTAGTTTTCTACTTATATTTATAAAAACTTTGAAGCAGGGAGTATTGTATAACCATGACCAAAGTCTAAAATGCACTAGAATATATATGTACATGTTCTGGGGGCATTGCACTTAAAAACATGTAGTGTAGTGTATAAAAAAAAAAAAAAAAAAAAAATAATATAATATAATATATATATATAAATTAACCGCTCCACCTTGTTTAGAGAAACATGATGCATCAAAGAAGACCTACATATTCTTCTGCTATATGTCCTTCATATCTTTATAAATTTCAGTAAACTTTGATTGTGATATTTACATCAAGGTTCTTAATCTCTGTAACCAACATTTAGTCCACTATATACTATTTTTTTTTTTAATATTTGAGAATCATCACAAAGCAAATTATGAGGAATTTATTCGGGGGCCTGGCTGTTCATGGTACATAATCAAAATGTGATGTAACTGAATGGGACCATTTTTTACTTTGTAAACTTGTCCTAAGTTTGTAATATTTTTTTTAAGCTTATGTAAAATACCGTCTTACACGTTTAAGAAGTACTTATAAAATATCTAAGTCCTGAAACCTATTTAATGGTTTATATTTGTTCATCATTGTAGAACTCCCTGCAGTTAAGTAGTTAAATTTAAGTATAAACTTTACCCAACCTGACAGTCCTGAAGATATGGAGGTAAAGTTTGGTGGTTGCAAGTCTCTGGTTCAATATGTGGTTATGTATCTACATGATGGAATTTCTTTATCCATTTTTTTTAATAATTGTCATCCCTCATGTTTTTCTTAGTAAATTTCTGCTGCATACTAAGGATTATTTTTTATTCTAAACAGATATAAAATCAAATAGAACCACATATATATTATATGCTCAATGTTTACAATATACAGATAGTAGTGTTTTATATTATATGCTCAATGTTTACAATATACAGATAGTAATGTTTTAAGTTTAAAATGAGAACTTTGTGCGAACTGCTTATTTCTTGTTCTTTTAAGACCACAAAGGTTTGAGGCACAGTGAGAAGAAACTGAGATTCCTAAATGTTTTCAAGCTCCTTTAGGTTTTGTCTCAAAAGATGCACAGCAAGTTAATCAGTATTTTCCTCCAGGATTATATATGCAACATGACAAGAATATTAACAAAAAGTACCAATGCTTAGTGTATGTATGTTTGTGTTTACTGGTGTTTCAAGGTTATTGTCTGATTTAAAAAAAATTTCCCCAAGATAGTCATGAGTGAGTGGCTCATGTGTATATATAATATAGACCTGTACAGTGAAGTAATAAAGTGTCAAAAATCTTTGAATCTTTAAATTAAATATAGCTTAAGGGAACTGTTTTGTACTTTATGCATAAATCTAAACTTACAGCTATGCATTACATTGATAAATTTGCTTCAAAAGTTCTCAACACCCTCCTTTCCACTTGAATTTGTTCATTCTCCAAATTCTTCATCTTTCTGAGGTGCAAATCTACAAGATTTGGGTGGGTATATATATATATTCTTTGTTTGGTGCATCATAGAAAATGTGAAATATTTCCCATGCACCAATCAGAGAATATGTGAAATATTTCCCATTTTCTTTGATTGTTGCATCATAGAAAATGGGAAATATTTCCAATTGTCTATGATGCAACAATAAAAAATGGGGTATATTTCACATTTTCTATGATTGGTGCATGGGAAATATTTCACATTTTCTATGAACCAATAAAAAATGGGAAATATTTCCCATTTTCTATGATGCACCAATAAAAATGGGAATTATTTCCCATTTTCTATGATGCACTAACCAACGAAAATGGGAAATATTTCCCATTTTCTATGATGCAACAATCAAAGAAAATGGGAAATATTTCATATTTTCTATGATTGGTGCATGGATAATATTTCCTATGGTTGGTGCATCATAGAAAATGGGAAATATTTCCCATGCACCAACCAATGAAAATGGGAAATATTTCCCATTTTCTATGATGCACCAACCAAAGAAATGGGAAATATTTCCCATTTTCTATGATGCAACAATAAAGAAAATCGGAAATATTTCCCATTTTCTATGCACCAACGAAAGAAAATGGGAAATATTTCACATTTCTATGATTGGTGCATGGGAAATATTTCACAATTCTATGATTGGTGCATGGGAAATATTTCCCATTTTCAATGATGCACCAACCAAAGAAAATGGGAAATATTTCCCATTTTCTATGATGCACCTACATCAAAGAAATATATTTTCTTTAGTATATATATATATATATACATATATATATACACATATATATATATATATATATATACATATATATATATATATATATATATATATACATATATACATATATATATATATATACATATATATATATATATATATATATACATATATACATATATATATACATATATATATATATACATATATATATATATATATATATATATATATATACATATACATATATATACATACATATATATATACATATACATATATATACATATACATTATACATATATATATACATATACATATACATTATACATATACATATATATACATATATACATACATATATATATATATATATATATACATATATATATATATATACATACATACTGTACATTATCCTTATTTTTTACACCATGAAGCTAAGGCAAAATTGATTGCAAGTCTAGATTTATTCTATGCTCAGCTTCATCAAACATTTTCAGTTTTCCAAGAAGCTTCCTGCTAGAACCACAACTAGAAGGTATTGTTGGAGCACAAAAAGTGTAACAGAGAAGACACAAGGTAACTTATGCTGAGAAAAAGGGTACCCCCAAAGGGAATGCTGGATTAAGGTCTTGGCTACATATTTTTTGCATGATCAGATCCATCACTAGAAGCCAGTACTGATAGCAGTAAAAGGGTCACATAACCACAAATAAAAAGTAAGTACATATAGTGGCACAGAAGGGACTCACAGATACAAGCTCTGAAATTAAGAAAGCTAAATAAATAATACATGACTATATTGTGTATGAAAGTAACATATCTTTAAAAAATGCAACGTAATCCCTTGAAAACAGACCATAACCCGAGGATTGAAATATACCTTAGAAATTGCAAGGATTTAATGCCCAGGTTAACTAACACCAAATTTCATGAAACCTCAACACGTATCCTCCTTGAATGGCTCTGCTGTTACTTTTCGAAACAACATTAAACTTTATTGCTGTACCAGAAAATTTTTGTGATCTGGCTAGTTCCAATATCTTCAGATAATAACATACCTGTACCATTTGTATAACTATTTCTACAGTTTTCTTTTTATACCATACCCATGTACTCATCTCTATGGGTTATTAGTCTTGGTGCTAAGTCTATATTACCATCTTTATCAAAATTAGTATCAGTACCATCACTCATACTTTCAGTATTAGAATACCTTATGTCCCCAACTGCCATGTCTTGGCTAGTTTCCACAGCAGGACCTACAGTTATTCCACCTTTAGTATCTACTAACTCGGATTCAATTTGTAAAAGGAGCTTATCTACTATCATGGTGTCCATACATTCTGGAAAGAGCGAAAAGCAATCCAGACCTCGCTGGCCAGCAATCTCTGCACGCAGCTCCTCCAGTAGCCTTGGGATGCTGGACACTCCGGACAACCAACTGACACCCATCCTGAGAAAATATATTTCCTAAATAAGTATTGAAAAAAGTGAAACAAAATAATTTGTTATGATCTTAGTTGTAAAAGATATGTAACAGACCAAAAATTCCTTCTCTTAATTTAAAAGACTAAAGAATGCCTTAAATTATAATTACTTTGATGGTTTCTGCATCTATTTTAAGTTTGACAAAGGTCGTGATTTAATTCAAATCCAAGATATTCTATTGTCAACCTGGTATTTGCTTGCTGCAGGAGTAAATAATATGAATATTCAAACGGACATCAAATCCTTCCCCGACATAATTTTCTTTTTTAAACCTTTAAATGCTGACGAACATCATATGATGTTTGAGAGGAAAAAGTGTAAAGGGCAGTGAACATCATAATTAATGATGTTTGTTTATCATGCCATTGTGGCTTGTTACTAAGTTGACACCGGCAGCTTGAATCCAGAGCTGGAAAAACATGTATCCCCAGGTTCTACTAGATACAGCAGAACCTCTATAAATCGGACTACAGTATATAGTACTCTTGATTTAACAGAATCCGATATAATGAACTCTCGATTTAGCGGAAGGCATTTTTTCTGTTATTTTTCGCTCTATTTGGTAAACTACCTCGCTAAATGAAGACACCTCAGACACATGATACAGTATAACTTACTTCAGCCTACCGCGAATGTACTAAATGTATAAAAACAGTAAATAATGATATAAAAGATGCAACCCCCACTTTAACGGAGTAATTACGAAAAAAAAGTGTGTGAATTTTCCTCCTGCAGCCGTAGTTTTCTTAAAATAATATATACAGTACCAGGAAATAATAAATACAAATACAAAAAAAAAATACTGTATAGTATTGCCAAATGAAAGTTTAACAGTTTCGCCATAGTAATGAAGACCAGCTGCAACGCTGATGCCCTAGCAACACCCCCCCCCCCACACCAGTGGTCTCCAACTTTTTGTAGGCTCTGGGCCACATTTATCATTGGAAATATAGTGGAGGGTGCCAAAACTTTGGATCTACAGTCAGGGAAAAAAAAAATTATATACAGTACCCTTTACAGTTATTTCCAGTTTTACATGCCAAAGTTCTAACTGTTACCAGTTACCCTCACCCATCCTCCAGATCCCTTGTCCTCGCCATCCATACCCACTCCCCCTCCTCCATACCCACACCCCTCCTCCATACCCACACCTCTCCTCCATACCCACACCTCTCCTCCACCATACTCACACCCCTCCTCTGTGCCCTCTATACCAGGGGTGTCAAACAAATTTGCCAAGGCGGGCCAGATTTAATATGAGTACACAATATGCGGGCCAAGTAACATAATTATGAGCACTTCACAATCACCTCTTAGGTGAGTAGTACGACAAAATATGAAAGGTGGATTTAGTCTGAGCTCGTGCAAAACCCTTAAAAACAAACAAATCAAGTGTTTACTTACCTTGATCAATCTTATTGTTTGCTACTGCTGCAAAGTTTGGCACTAACGACTGAGCTGTAGCAACCTTCAGTATTGAATTAAGGTGCGCATCAGTAAGTTGAGACCGAAGCCGAGACTTGTTCAAGTTCATCACAGAAAAGAGTTGTTCACAGACATATGTAATCCTGAACATTGCAATAATCTTTGGGATAATTTGGTCCAAAATATTGATAAAATCTGCAAACATCAACACTCAAAAACTTGTTCCTCAGCACAGAATCACACTGGAGCTCAATTACTTCTAACTGAAGATGTTCTGGTACCTCATTAACATCAACAGAAAATGGGTCCCAAAAAACGAAAAAACCCTTCCCAAGTCTTTTAAAGTCAGCAAATCTTTCTTGGAACTCATTCATTAATTTGGAAATCTTGATGCAGTACTTTTTTGTGTTGATATCAGCATGAAACTCAGGTGTGCCTTGCAGGGACTTCAAGGTCGGAAAGTGAGAAAGATTACTCTCTGATAGTTGCCGTTCAAAAAGCTGAAGTTTCATCTCAAAGGCACGAATGCAGTCATAAAACTGTCACCAATTTATTGCGTCCTTGCATCTTTGTATTCAAGTAATTTAAGTGTTCTGTAATATCCACCATGAAAGTTAGATCTCGAACCCATTCATTATCTTTCAGTTCATGCAAATCCCTTCCTTTCTGTTCCATAAACATATGTATTTCACAAAATCGCTTCAGTACGACTCCCCGACTTAACCAGCGAACGTCAGTGCGATATGGCAGTCCGTGTGTTCTCATTTTCCTCCAATAAGCAGTTGAACTGTCTGTGGTTCAAACCTCATGTGCATATAACATTATCCATCTTTAATGTTTTACTACATAACACTTCTTTATGTATAATACAATGCACATTATAAATTTGATGGTTCGAGTTCACAGCTATTAGTTTTTCCTTTAATTTTGTTGCCACGCCAGCTTTTCTACTCACCATTTGCGGTGCTCCATCTGTAACCAGACTCACAGTTTGTACCCAGTCAACACCTAATTTATCCAGTGCCCCTACCAAACCCACAAAGATGTCATCACCTGTTGTTCCTTTCATTGGTACCAGTTTCACAAATTCTTCTGTTACCTGCATATTTTCATCCACACCACGTATAAAAACTGCAAGTTGTGCTATATCACTTACATCGGTACTTTCATCAATTGCAACTGAAAATGCAGTAAAGGACTTAACTTTGTCTTTGAGTTGACTGTTAATATTCTCTGATAATTCACCAATTCTTTCTGCAACTGTATTTCTTGAGAGGTTTATGTTTGCAAATGTTTGACGTTTCTCCGGGCAAATATCTTCTGAAGCCATCAACATACATTTCTTTATAAAGTTCCCCTCAGAAAACAGCTTTGATGACACAGCTATTTCATGGGCAATCCTGTAACTTGCCTTAATTGCAGCATCACTGACTTGATGAACACTCTTAAATACTGACCCCTGCTTTTTCGATAACTGCTCCAACTCCTTAACTTTGTCTTCACGTAACTTTCCACTATATTTATTGTACTTTATAGCATGGTTAGTTTCATAATGCCTTCGAACGTTGTATTCTTTGGCCACAGCAACTTGTTGATTACAAATCAAACATGTTGCTTTTCCATTCATTTCAACAAAAAAGTATAAGATTTTCCACTTATCCTGTACCACCCGAAGCTCTTCATTAACTGTTCTTTTCTTTGAAAACATAATTATGGGCTCAAAAGTAAAAACAATGATCACTGCTGCTTTGGATATTTGCAACGTTCCAACTGCCTTGAGTGATTAAGCAGGACTAGTACTTGAATGAATGGCCAAGCGTGAGCCTGCCGCGTCAGAGTTTTCATGTCTATTACCTGTACTGTACGGAGTGTATACGTAAACAGTAGTCAGACGGTAGTCTCACAACTCGTACAGTGGCACACTTACAACTACAATTAACTGTTAAAACTATTATTGTTCTTTCATTGGTGATGTTGATTGAGTATTTTGTTCTAGGAAACAGCAGACTATTTTAGTCAGCTGAGGGATACACTCATTATTTAGTTTTAACTCAAGATAAGGCTGGAGCAGCAAATGGGCCGCAGGCTGCATGTTTGACACCCCTGCTCTATACCCACATCCCTTTTCCCCTCCCCCACTTCTTCCACCACTACCCCTCTCCTTCTACCACTCCACCTTCCAACTCCTCCCTGTCTCCTTCAGACTCTTGCCCCTCTCCCTCCAACTCCTCCCCCTGTCCTTGCACCCCTCTTGTATTCTCTCCTTCCCATTTTCTTTGATGAAAATTTTAGACCTTGCATGAAAAAATTTCTCTATCCAATCTTAACTGTCATAATCATAAAGGCCAGCCATGTGCAACTCACGTCCAAAAGGGTAGGAGTCTGTAAGGAACTGTGTCCTGGAAGTAAGGCAAGGTAGCGTGATGACCCTCACACAACAGACGTTGCAGGCACTCGGGCTCCAGGTCAGCAATCTCAGGAGAGGTGCGTGTCTTAGGTATACTCAGCCCTAAAGCAGACACCATGTTTATCACACCAGCTCTGTAAAACAAATTAGGTCAATTCAACATCAGGTGTATTTTGAAATGACAAACTTCTAAGTTTTAACTGCAAAGTACCATTAAGATGACTACCATAATGCTATAGAGCAACTCGATGAGAAAACCATATACTGTACAGCACTGTGCAGTACACCTACCAGTATGTATATAGTAATTTGACCCCTGATTCTTTGGTAAAACCAGCCTACAGTAGTTTCTGAAAAATACTAGGTATACTCTTAGAAATAATTTGTAGCAAGGCACCAGATTCACACCAACACATCTTAGCCAAGACCACCATCGCAACAGTGTTACCAATTCTGAAACTGAATTCCCATTCCTATCAGGAATAAGATAAAATAATATACACTGGGAAATTTTTATCGTGAGGAATAAATAAAAATAATACCAATAAATATAAGAGACAGCCATTTAGCTGCGAGATGACAAAATTTGTCAATCAGCATCTCGTCCTCTAAATTTTCCGGGTAACGGAAAAATGTTCTCGGAAGTTCAAGAAATTGTCCATTACACCATTTCCTGAACCCGGAAAAATAACCCTCATCCCGGAATTTTCCGGGTAATGGAAAAATTTTCTCGGGTATTGGGATTTTTTTTTCCAGAATTTTCCGGAAAATGTGCCTCAGAAAATCATTCCCAAAACCGGGAATTTTCCAGAAAATTACGGCTTTGGGTCGATTTTCCGAGAAAATTTAAATTCCGGCTATCGGAGAGTTCCGGGTTTGAGGGATTCCAGCTAAAGGATATACAGTATGACTGTATATGAGAATTTGCACTCACTCAGGGATCCCAGAAATATAACCTTCGTGTACTCGGAGACCTTATTACATACAAGCCATCCTTACAGAGGTATTTTTATGATCATGATTATTATCATCTTTCCTAAAGTAATTTATCTACCCAGAATATTGTAAACATACTACATCAAGTCAATGATGATAAGCTGAGAGAAACTGTCAGAAAGAGAAATGTGGTAGTCATGCTACAGAAGGTCCATTATGAAGTAATTTTGTTGTTGTAATGACACTCGGCAAAATTGTCAATCTCTATTTAATATTTGCATATACAGGATAAATAAAAAAGATATCAGCATAGATTATGAACAATCAATTACTGTATTATGGATCATCAAGCCACGCAGCAGGGCAGGTAACCAGATATAACTTCATCCACATTTAAACAGATGGCTGGTGCAGTTCCCATTTGTTTGTACTGTACTATAATCTATAACTACCGAGAATTAAAAAAAAAACTTTGACCTGCAGAAGACATTTAGTAGTAATGTACTCTTCATAAAACAAATAATCGTGGTTTAGCTTGAGAGTACAGTATATGATATACTATCTACTGGAAATAAACATTTACTAAGAATAGAGCCACATAATGTTAATAACAATGCAAATGAGTGTTAACTAATTATTTACCAGCAAAGTTTTTTTAATTGGGTAGTGAGTACAGCTGTACAGTACAGTATAACCAATCACACATTCATCTCAAGTTTGACTTCACTAATTGGGGGATTGTTAAATATAACCCAAAGCAATGTCCTTCTCACCTGGCCATTTCATGAAGACTAAAGTAGACTTGACTGATGACATCTGCTACTTTTGTTAACATTCCATTATCTTGGTCAAGATTGTCATTTTCAAGGCCAAGATTCAGATCAAACCTTCCAAAGTCAAGTTGGAAGGAAGAAAAATCTAGTGGCAGTGCATTAAAACCACTCAAATCCTCTCGTCCCAGCAGTGAATTTATGGAAGACTGAAAAGAAAATATTTGGAACAAAAATGTAAATACAGTACGGTGGTCAGGAGGCAAGGAAGGTAATATGCAGGCTAAAGATAGTCCTATTTCTTGACTCTTGGTTGAACCAGGGGAAAAAACCACAGGCACAAACATACAGTAATTTAGTAAAAGAGAAGTCCACAATGAAGCTACATTCCAAATATATCAAGAACTGATTTTGGAATTTCCACTTTATAAAATAAGAACAACTGACCCGTATAGAGTATACAAACAAGTCTATGAGTTCCAACCCAAGCTTAAACCCTTACCACTGATACCTGGCACTAATATACTGTAGTTAATACATCTCTCCCATTATGAATGTCACCCTTAAATGGACTGAGGATTAGCAGGCCTTAGTACTACAACAGCATATGCATACTGTGTAGACCTTTTCTTGTCCATTGTCAACTCCCTGACATTGTGTCATCCCATATAGATGATTTCCATCTGGACAATCATGTTTTATTTATTTATTTTTTCCATTCCACTTACACGATTAAATTATCTATCTGGGAAAGGAGGCACGAAATCCCCGATATTTCCACACACACCTTCAGTCCAGGTGAACTCCAATCTAACATCACTAATTTAGTTATAAGTTCTCGATAATTTGCAAAGCTGTTAACTCTACTTCACCATCAGTCCTTGGCAGCTTATCGTGCTGTATGGTCTCTTGCAGTCCCTCTTCCTAGGTTCCTAACACCAATGTAATTTCTTGCAACCTCTACCCATATCGTTCTTGGCCTACCCATGGCTCTCCTCCTCTCCACATTAGGCACAAGTACAGTCCCCCCAAAATGTATCCTTAACCATGGGGTCGATGTGGTTCAAGGCTTTCTGAGTAATATTACCTGACCTGTTTCTGAACAGTTGGTAGTTCTACATCCGCGACCTTTGAGCATATATGAGTATACAGTGTACGTTTTCGAATGATACATACATTAATATAGCTTAATAGATTTCTTGTTTTGTTGAAGTATCTAGCACAGTATATCATACAAGGGCAACTCCCTTCCTGCCCACACTGTGTGAAACATTATGATATCACAGATGATAGATATTGGGACATACATTTACTTTGGTATGTAGTTTAACGTAAGTAATGCAATGTGTATTTATTTTGGCATAATTAATATGAGGTTTGGTTATCAAACAGTACTGCCCTGACTGTACAACCAAAGTAAATGAGGCTATTGCTGATCATAAGGAAAGATAAACTTATAGACAAAAAAAGATGAAGCTAGATCGTTGTTGGTTGCCAAAACTAGAGCAAGTTGGGAAGATATCCTCACTAAGACTGAGGAAGTAGCTGATAAAATGGAATTATAGTTAAGAAGAGCTATGCACAAGTTGCAGCAGGGTCACAGAAGGTGATGGAGAATAATGAAGGATCCAAACAGATCCTACACCAACTAGGGACTCTGTAGAAGTATTGAAAAGATGACAACTAGTAGACTTACTGACATGGGAAAGGAGGAACACCGAGAATGATTCGCACACAGGAACAATATACAGAAATCATGTTTGGAGTACCTGAGAGTTGCCGGAGGAGGCTGAAAAGTAGGAAAACACATGATAAGATGGAGTTTCAGACTATTTGTGCAGAGGCTCTGAAGTGAGGAGACTAGGACAAAAGTAGGAGAATAAGCCCCACCTCCTCAGGATCACACTAGAGAATGAGGATAAAAATGGGAAGTTATTCAGCAGGCAGAAAAATAAGCAAAGAACGAAGTATTTCAATCATATTGATAAGCACAGAAAGCACGGTAATGCAGAGGGAACAGCACAAAGAACTCCTGATGTACTTGAAACATAAGAGGGAGGAATTAATAAAAAATGGGGACAGATGTGCATGGGTTATAAACAAAGAGAAAGTAGTGGAGGGAAGTGTTCCAGAACAGAACCAAGGGACAGTGAGACACCCCGAAACCCCCCTACCTCCCACCCAGGAGGAGAGGAGCATCATGTAAACAAAGTCATCCCTGGCCACACCCCACAAGTTACGATGAGTTTTGTAAACGAGGCAACTGTTGAGAATGGAGGGAGGCCGGAGTCACTACTGCACAGCTAGTAATTTCAACACTTAATTACTCACATTATGCTCCACCGTCCACAAAAACATAAGTGAAACTAATAAGTTACCCCTAGAGAAATACTCGTTTTCCCTAGCAAGTGGTACCATCTGTTTTCTCTTTAAAGTCCTGAAATACTCTCAACACTATAAATTTAAAGTTATGCTATATCCTGTATGAGTAGCCATAAGTTAGATATACCTACTGTGAGCAGAAGCATTCAAAGTGTATTGAGTATATATTAAAAGCTTCATCCATTTGTAAGTGTAGAGTAAATAATGTTAAGACGATGAGTTTTGAGTGTCATGCGACTACCTGGAATCAATTTATGTTTCGCATGAAGTTACGGAGTAGCAATTCAAAACTGAAGTTTATTTCCTGGAGTTGCAGACCTCAGAGAATCCAATGAGTGTATTGAAATTATTATAAGTTTTGTATAATATATTCTCATTTATCTTGAGGGACTAAACTGTCAATTGTAGAAAAACTAAAGTTAAGAGAAAACCCAGAAATTCAAGGCGTGGTTTAGGTCAAACAATGAGCAGGACAGGAGGATGTATGCAAGAGCCAGGAACCAAGCACAGTCAGAGTGTAGAAGGGCTGAAAAGGAGTTCCAGAGGCTGGTTGCAAGCAAGGTCAAGTCAAACCCAAAGGCGTTTTACCACTATGCAAAGTCGAAATTAAAAACCTGAGGCTTGAAGATAGTAGTTAAGCAGATTCTGACCAAGACAAAGCTGAGGCATTGAACAGCTTCTTTTACTCGGTGTTCACAAGAGAGTATGCGATTAACATTCCTGAGTTTGAGGACAGATGGTTCAACACAGCACTGACCCACACGGTGTTCAAAGAAGAGGTTAAAAGAAATAAACTGTCAAAGCTAAAGGTCCATAAGAGTCCCAGCCTTGACATGGTGCAATGGTGCACCCCAGAGTGCTAAGAGAGATGTGCAAAGAGCTTGCCGAGCCCCTGAAGATCCTGTTCTGTAAATGCTTGGATGAACAAAAGGTCCCCAGTGATCGGAAAATTGCTTAAATGTCCTATCTTCAAGAAGGGCGATCGTCACTCCACGAACAACGATAGACCGGTTGAGCCTGACCAGCATAGTAGGTAAGGTACTTGAGAGCATTATCAGAGATGCCACAATGGAACATTTACTACGAAACAACCTTGTAAGGGATTGCCAACATGGTTTTATGCAGCGTGCTCCTGCCTAACACAATTACTCAAGGTATTGGATATTTGGACCCATATTCTGGAACAGGGTGGTAAAAATGACAAAAAATACCTAGATTTTGCCAAGGCTTTCGACAGTGTACCCCCATGAAAGGCTGAAAATCAAACTGGAAGGGTACTGGTGCCTGCACTTCGGCACCTCAGCTACCCTGAGAGATTGGAGCGCCTGAACTTGCCTAGCTTATACTACAGAAAGGCAAGGCGGGACCTACTTGAGGTGTATAAGCATCTCAGGGGGCACTACTCAGTCGAGTGACCAACACTGGAGCGGGTTCAGGTACATTCAGGAGCCGGTGCATGCCCAGTATTTGCCAACAGTGCGTGACAGAGACGTGACCGATTGCCCGGGCGGCTAGCGAGCCGATCTTTTGGTGAAGAAGATAAATGAAAAGGAAAAGTAATCAGAGACGTGACCGATCGCCCAAGCGGCTAACGAGCCGATCAGTGGCGAAGAGGATAAAAGTAAAACGCAAGTAGTGTAGGGCGAGTGTCACTCCATGAATATGAATTGTAGACTAGAGAGCCTGACCAGTATAGTGTGTAAATTACTAGAAAGCATTATAGGTCACAATTAATGCAGTTTCCTCATCCTGTTGGGACACGTGATATGCCTCCTTACTGTTGGTACGACCCAGATGCATCTTCTTGCACTTCGAGACATTGAATCTTAGCAGCCATTTCTTCAACCATTCTTGAAGCTCACAGAGATCTTTCTGTAGCTCTTCACAGTCTGTTTGGTTCTTAATTTCCCTAAATAACTTGGCATTGGAGGAGTGTAGAGCTTCTGGCATGTCATTCATGAAACAAACAAACAACAACGGACCCAATACACTGCCCTGTGGTACCCCTCTTGTCACGGTAAATATGACAATTTCATGCCACTAATCACCGAACACTGCTTGCGATCGTGAAAAAAGTCTCCGAACCATGCTAGGACATTTACCCGAATCCCGTGTAATGACCACGATCATACACGTCAGTTAACGCCAAAATCAGACGATTCATATTACGCTCAATAGCCCACAAAACATGTAACTCTGTTTTCGTTGAGTCCTCCATCTGAGGAGTCCGTTTTCTCATCGCTTCAAGATGCCTCAGCCCTCCGTATCCCATCTTCTCTGACTTCCTGAAACCAACCTCTCTATAAAGTAAATCTGAAGGTGAGAGAGAACACCATTGTTTTGAGTCAACTTAGATATGTCTGATTATAGTTAAAGCATACAAGATCCTTGGTGAGTGATGTTGAAAGCTTTAACTGTCTTTATTGTTCGTAACACTTGTTAAGTAAGTGAATGTCGAGTCTGCCAGTACGAATAGCGTCCAAGGATATTGTCCCTGGTTAGAGCCAGGAAGTTCTGAGTACTATTGAAATTAGATCATTTTGATGCCCAAACATCAGAGAATCTGATGTTTGTAGTTTTGTTAATGTCAGTTGTCTATTCAAGAAAGCCATTAATCTCCTGAAAGAACATGTCAAACGTCTTACCTCCAAGATCTCAACCTATACCCATAGAGGGTCCTTGTCTAGAAATTCGCTGATGTTGGGAGAACTAATGTTATCAACGTGTGTATTTCCACTTTTTCCTGGCAAGCTCAATCTCTGATTAGATTATATGAATAGACATAGGAAATTACCCTGATCAGGAACACTGAAGTTCATAATTAAGCATACAGCGATCCAAAATGGTAGGGAAGGTCTGTTGTAAGTGAGATCAACCTTTTTGGTATGAATGTGGGGGCCCGAGTTGCCCAGCGGGCGCATGTACATACCCCCTACACGAGGGAGAATCACGCATTCGTGACTCTCCCTCATCGTATCTCCAGGTATGTTAACCAGTGTTCCATGCCGCCATATTAATTCAGTTTAACTTAGTCAATTTTGTGAATATCAGTGTTCATGTTGTAACAGTGAAATTGTCATTTACCCAGTGAAAGGATTAATATAACGTAAGTCGCCTAGACCGTTGCCAGACGTATGTTTGTATAGTTGAAGTTAAATATTCACGCATTCGTGACTCTCCCTCATCGTATCTCCAGTGGTGTGTTGAGCTGAATACTCATTGGCTACCGTGGGTCGGTAACCGGGTTGGACGATGCCGTTAATTCGACAGGATTAAACTGGGAAGTCCGTTTCCTGCAAATCAGGCGCCAGCTCCCTTGGCGTGTGTCGGTCTACAACCGACCCCTAACAGCGATCTTCATTTGTTGTAGAGATGCCAGCGTTACCCTGGGGCACTCCCTACAGTTATATGGGCCTAAGTATTATTGTTGTATATGATTGGTGATAATATATGATTGGTGATGAATAACAGGTGGAGTAGTGATCCCATAACAATTGATGGTATCAGTAAATATGTTGTGTGAGTTGAGTTCACCAATTGAGGGAGAAATACCATGTTCTGTATTCCGAAATAGCGTGTTGTTATAAATAGTATTTTAATTCGGGATATTGTCCAGTGTGTCATACAGCCATCTGTAGTGACAATGACATAATTTAGTGATTGCTTAATGATGTAATAAGTAACTGAAGTTGTTTAATGAATTAATAAGTAATTGTGGATCTATTTTATCACTAATACAGTAAGACCTGAGTGTCCAGTTTGACTGGGTGAATTGAAGTAACATCTTATTCACTCACTGTGTTAATAAATATTGAATTAGTAATCTACGAGTATCACTTCTCTATCCTTTCATACATTGGTTCTCAGAAAATAACTAACTCACGTGCCTAGAAGCTCGCTACCTAACAGTTAACTAAAATATGTCATATTCTAATAAAATTCTGGGTGGTGGCAGGCTACCATTGTAAGTATAATAAGTGTGGTAATAAGGAAGACATCGTTTCCCAGATTAATTCATGGTTTAGAATATAACTAGAACCAAATATATGGAAGACAATATAATATATATGAAAGAAAATGAAGGAAGAACATTGACTTGGAAAATATAAGCAGAAACGTAAGAGTTACTTATACTGTATAAGAATATATAAAAATATAAGGTATATAAAGATAAAGAATATATAAGAATATAAGAAAGAATCCATAAGAATAAATATATGTATAAAGAATTGAAGAAGGATAACTATAAAAACAGTATACTCATTGAAAAGAATGCTACAAAGAACATATAAGTACAGTATATGAATAAATAAGAATACTAACAGAAAAGAATATCTGGATGGCAGATTATAAAATGAGAAGAACTCCGCCCATTACACCCGTACCCTTCCAATTTAATTCTCAGCCTTTCATAGAGTACGCTGTCGAAAGCCTTGGCAAAATTTAGGTATATGGTCGATATTACCACCTTGTTCTAGAATTTGAGTCTAAACATCCAGGACCTTAAGTAATTGTGTTAAGCAGAAGTGTCTCGGCATAAAACAATGTTGGCAATCCTTTACAAGGTTGTTTCGTAGTAGATATTCCAACGTGGCATCTCTTGTGATGCTCTCAGTACTTTATACTGTGCTGGTCAGTCTCACTGGTCTATAATTATTCATGGAGTGATGATCGCTCTTCTTGAATATAGGCAAAATTGTTGCACAGTTCTCTTAACACTCTGGGGTGTACCATATCAGGGCCAGGACTCTAATGAGTCTTTGGCTTTGACAATTTATTTCTTATACTCTATTCTGAGAACACAATGTGGGTCAGCGCTGTGTCAAACCATCTTCCCTCAAACACAGGAAGATTGGTCGCATCCTCTCTTGTGAACACTGAGCCAGTACATGTCCAGTACTTGCCAACAGTGCATAAGAGAAGTGACCGATTGCCAAAGCAGCTAACGAGCCGATCAGTGGTGAAGAGGATAAAAAGAAAAGTGAAGCAAAAGTATAATGATGCACTGGGGATCAAATTGTAGCAAGGAAAAATTTCACATTATTTTTTTGAGAGACTGTACCTCTTGACTCACTTGGTCTCATCCATTCTCTCCATGTGCCAAAATCATCTCAGCTGACCCCAGTGCAGAAATTCCCAATACTCTCTACACCAAAAACTCTCCTAGCTCTGAACAGAACCTTCTGTCTTTCATTGCCACATTGCACATCCACCTCACGTATCTCATTTCAGCTCCCTCTTTAACTGCCAAACAACATCACACTTCTCACGCTGGCCACATGAGTCCTTCCCCTTGTTGTCAATAAAGGCAGCAACTCCCTAAACTTCCTCCAGCCACTTCTGACTCTTGCAACTGAGCAAGCTCCATCACCCCCACCAGCACAGATCACATCATCCAGGTAACAGAACACATTGACATAGCCAAAGGACACATCCACAATGTTGAGTTTCTCCAGCCTTGCTTTGGGCACATTTTCACCTGCATGGCATCTAGTTGTTTCACCCCATAGTCCATTTGCTCTCTGTCAGTTCACTTCATAACCTGTTCCTCTCTCTCTTAATCCATCTAGATGTTGTTATGTTAGGTTAGTCATAATAATAACTGCCACTATTGATTATGTTGATGGTCAGCAGTCATAAAATGCTAGGGGGCGAACTGGCAAAGGGAGGAACGGGTGACGGGGCAAAACAACTTCCACACTTGTTACACATGACAGAGATACTGCCAACACCTTTCTTTTAGACAGTACCTGACCATTTTCCACTTTCCACCACTGGTCCCTTGCCAACACCATTAACAACACTTCTGTTATTGACACCTTCACTCTCAGGCCCTTTGACTCTACAGAGTACTGTACTGTAAATATAACTATGTCATACTTTGTACCCAAAACATTTTAATTCTTTATACTGAAATGTGATATGCTACTTAAAAATTATTTAGTGAACCTATGATGAATACTGTACTCTCTTGGATATATCTAAAAAAAACCTTACTACTTAATAAGAATTGTACTGTACAACATAATGTATCCAGCACCCACATTAGCTATGGCTTGCACCACCAAGTTAGCCATGAAGATACCAAAGGCGAGGAAGGACATGGTGGTCACAGCTTTGTCAATTCTTGGTAGCTGCTTGGACACCTCAGACATCATATGACCCATCTCATACATCCATCCGCTACCTCCCTGTTGGTGTTGCTTCTGGAGCATGCCTACTGCACTATTTCTAAAATCTGAAAAGTTCATTAATTAAAAAAAAAAAGAGTACAACACTTGAATCAAGATCTAACAGAAAAAAATAGTGTTTGATTCAAAAATTAAATTAGAAACAACAGGGATACATGTCCAATATTTTACACCACCAGAAAAGCTTTAGGGTTCTTTCCAATCCTCAAAGTACTCTAAGAAATATAATACTCAGTCAGAATATATAATCAGCTGTGTATTAGCTACTCATGCTCGAACAAATTTTGTTCTGTTACCACCTGACCTTAACAGACTTGGATACAGTATTTAGTTTGCAGAATGGAAAAATAAAATAAAAGACAAATAACAATGACAGTACAGTATGAAATTGCAAAAGAAGCAATCATATATCTATGTTCAAAACTTGTGATATAGAAAATGTGTTCATGTAATGAGCTTATACTAGTGGCCAGACAGATAAAAACACAAACTGATGAATTACAGTACAGGTATATGAAAATATAATGACTACACCCCTCACTTTACAAGTATGCTTCCCCCCCCCATATTAAGTAATTATTAGATGTTTTAATTGCCTGTATGTTGGCCTGGCAAGTTATTGCTAGGCATTAACATACCTAGGTATAAAGCTAGATGTCGCATTCTGGATTGAACAAAAATATATATATTTCTTTAAAGATAATACTGTGCCATCAAGGACTTTATAAGTGCAGTTAATAAGGTCTCAGCAATTCTTTTTTTTCAGTAAGAAGTTCTTAACCTCATCATGTGATTGAAATGGATTTAAAACCTGAAAATCCTAGTCACCTGAATCAAATCTTAGCTACCAGAATCAAATCCTAGTCACCTGAATCAAATCCTAGTCACCTGAATCAAATCCTCATCACCTGAATCAAATCCTAGTCACCTGAATCAAATCCTCATCACCTGAATCAAATCCTAGTCACCTGAATCAAATCCTAGTCACCTGAATCAAATCTTAGTCACCTGAATCAAGGAGCAGTTTCTTCTGCAGTGGGTCACCCAGGAGGTTTGCAAGTTCTACAGCTTCAGCAAAAGTCAGACCAGTCTCTGCATTTGGTTTGAGGTTTTGCTGACCGAGTTGTGTCACTGGGGCTATTGGACCAAGTAGTGAAGGGTTGACAGAGGAGGTCTGTCCAATGTTAACGTAATCCTGGTACTTCACGTAATTAGAGAAGTCTGGGGAGTTATAGTCTACCAGTGGAGCCTCTGTTATAGAAATATAACATGCTATCTATATTTTTTTATGATATTGTAGGCATAAACTCCTCTACCCATGTGCCAATGTTTTACTGGCAATTAAGTGCTCAACATGATGTACCAAAATCATTAAAGGCTAAAACACACTGGTGAACTAGTGCAATAAACATACAGTAATAAGATGAAGGGAATATAGTTAGAAAAAAATGGTCCTCCTTTACACAAATAATTACATCATTAAATGAATACTGTACTCTATATATATCCAAAAAAGTTTTACTATGCAAAATCATTAGTGAAAATGATTACTGTACCCTAGCTATTAAGACTAATTAAAGAATATGATCCTTGGTTAATCAACTGATGAGGTGTAGAGGAATGTAGAAGAAGCTGAGGCACTACAGGTTGTGAGACTGGCAAAATCTAATACAATACACAGTGAGGTTCATATCAATAATCACATAATTTAAGTACAATACTGGTAAGTGATGTATCAACTTTGTGTTAATTCCCCAGTATTCCACCCTTTCAGCTCAATAACCACCTGACGACATGCAACTACACCTTGGCAACAACAGCATATGGCGTCCCTTCACTTCCCTACTTATGTCTTTTGAGGTCTTCCCATGACACCTACTGCTACCCACATGTCCAGTACTGACCTATTTTCTACACCAATAAAAATATATTTGAGTAAAAGAGGGAAAATTAATTCTATCTTGCAAGACACTCCCTTCCAATTCTCTTTCTCAACCTGTTTTTCTATTCATGTTTCTCTCTTAATTCCCCAACTGATTATTCATTTCCTCTTCATTCTTATGCTACTTTACTTTATACTTTCTCCCCCATTCTTTCTTTCCTCTTCTCTCTTGTTAATTCCCTCCCTTCTTCCTTCTCCTATCCTCCTCATACCCATCCCAATATATCGATTAAAATTTTCTTGTTGCTTCTCCTCTTCCTCCTTACTCCAATTCATTCTTCTTTTTCCTCTTCCTCCTCCCCCTTTTATATTTCATTCTTCCATCTCCTGTTTTTCTCCAATATTCCTCACTTCCCCAGGTACATTTCCCTCCTCTCTCTTTTACCTGGGTGTTGGCTGTTGGGGGTGAGGTAAGCTGTGGAGAAAGGGTTGTCCCCAGGTGCCGCAATCCCCACCTGGCCAACTGGTAGTCGCCGTCTGTACCAGTAAGAGGCCAAGGTTAGGACTGATACACACACCCAAATACTCATGGGCATACTAAAAACTCAAAATGCCCTTAAAACACACATACTACACACCATATAATACTACTAATAATAAAGATGACTTCACTCCTGGGGACAGTAACTCATGCAAATCGATAATAATATTTAAAGGGTTAAGAAATCTTTAAGTCATCATAATCATGTGGTTAAGATATCTTACTGGTTTAATTCATAGCACTGTACAGTATTCAAGGGGTCAAGTCATTGTACTGAAAAGGTAAAGACATCTAACTCACTGGGCTAATTCATTGGACTAAGCAGTTGACAAATATCTCTCTCTCTTTCTATGGAGTAAGGTTGGGATATATCGCTACTTTATATAAAGATTTTTTTATATCGCGGCTACCAAAATTATCAAAATTTTCCTATATATAGCGATAATTTTTTTTATTTCGCAAGGAACACTAAATTTTTTTTTTTTTTTTTTGCAAAATTACCTGTTACCCATAAATAATGTATGAAAAGAATAAGTAAAAAGAATGTTTCGCAGTGAGGATTAATAACGGTTTACACAAGCGCTCTGTTTACATCGTGTGATCAGTTGAATCGTGCGGTTTCTGTCAATTACTCCTTGATTTTCACTCTTTTCTCCAATTTTGTTGTGTTAGCGATGAATACGGAAAGACAAGGTAAGAAGAATGTTTCCAAGAAACGTTCTGGTGATCAAATTGCCGGTTGTGAACGTAAAAGAGGTTTACAAGAACGCATCTATGCGTCGTAGCCCGCGCCATCCTAGCGACTGACCGGGCTGCTATTGTGTGCTTTTTTGGGTGGAGCTACCACCTGTCGAGTCAAGATAATGGCCTCTATCTCTACTGGGGGTCCTACTGGTGCTGGTGGGGGTGGGACAGACACACCTAAGCGGCCAAATAAGGAAAAGGTGAAGCGGGACTATCAAAAGGGAGTTAAGTTTGCCAAGTACTCGACGCAGGATAAGCAGCGTGTGATTAAATTACTTGAGGATGGCCTAAAAACTAGTTTCTGGAAAGCACAATCAGGTCAATAAAGGCAGAATTTGTATCAATTGGAGGTTATAAATGGGAAAATCAGAGGGTGATGTAGAGTGGCCAGTCAATATTGTTATTTTTCCCATTAGTTTATGTATTTGCGTTTGGCGAATTTGAATTTGGCGCAATTTTTCCAGTCTATATTACTCGCGAAATACAAGATCTTACTGTATACAGTAGTATTTCCCTGCTAACCTGGCCCGTAAGCCACGTCCCTCTTTTTTTAAAATAGCTGATTGGTTCATAGAAAATATTCGTGTAGCTGTCTATTTATTCAAACTAAATGTGTTCACAATTGGTAAGCAGACTTGTTATTCTGTAAAATAATGTTAAATACAGTATCTGGAATATCAAAATGCAAATAATTTCAAGGCATTAACACTTCAGAGAGATGTTAAAATATCTTAAATATTTATCATAAATGTCAAAGTCGAAGATGAAATGCTTTTGAATGAAGTCTTTTCATTATTTCCTTGTTTTGTACCAAACATATAGCAAACAGAAACATATGATCTCGATCTTCAAGAGTGAGGTGCTTCCCTGCCTGGCCCCCGAGATATGTCAGGGACTGTCAACTGATTGAAAATGTCCAAAGGAGGGCCACCAGACTAGTGCCTGAAATTGCCTAGCTTATACCTGTACTACAGACAGGCAAGGGGGTACCTAAAGGTGTAAAAACATCTCAAAGGACACTACCCAGTTGAGTGCCCTTACCTGGAGCTGGCGGATTCTCGCCCCAAAAGGGGTACGTCCCTCGTAACGATCTTCAAGAGTGAAGTGCTTCCCCATCTGGAGTAGTGTCACCCCGTCTGGTCCCCGAGATATGCTAGGGACTGTCAGTTGGTTGAAAATGTTCAAAGGAGGGCCACCAGACTGGTGCCTGCGGTGCCTGCACTTCAGCAACTCAGCTACCCTGAGAGATTGGAGCGCCTGAACTTGCCTAGCTTATACTACAGACGGGCAAGGGGTGACCTGGTTGAGGTGTATAAGCATCTCAGGGGGGCACTACTCAGTCGAGTGTCCTTACTTGGAGCTGGCGGACGCTCGCCCCACAAGGGATCACACAGCTCAAGATTGAAGAAGCCTTAAGTCCAGAAAACTGTGAGGGCAAACTTTTTCAGAGTGAGGGTTGTAAACTCTTGGAACAATCTACCAGAAAGTGTTGTGATGGCACTGAGTGTGAGCTCTTTCAAGACAAGACTTGACCAGCACTGGAGCGGGTTCAGGTACATTCAGGAGCCGGTGCATGCCCAGTACTTGCCAACAGTGCGTGACAGAGATGTGACCGATTGCCCGGGCGGCTAGCGAGCCGATCTTTTGGTGAAGAGAATAAAAGAAAAGGAAAAGTAATCAGAGACGTGACCGATCGCCCAAGCAGCTAACGAGCCGATCAGTGGAGAAGAGTATAAAAGTAAAAGTCACAGCTCAAGGCTGAAGAAGCCTCAAGCCCAGAAAACATCTCTGTAGTGTGAATGTCTTGAAATCATTTGCATTTTGATAGTTCAGATATTTAACATTATTTTAGAGAATAACAAGTCTGCTTACCAATTGTGAACACATTTAGTTTGAATAAATAGACAGCTACACGAGCAATTTCTATGAACCAATAAAGTACAGCTCCTCCCCAACTTACAACCTGCCTCAGTCGTACCAAAATTTTGTCAAATTACGTGTTTTTGAGTCCCAACATCAGTGATTGCGCTGTGTACTGACAAAATTTTCCTTTGTAATTCACTTTAAAATGGCTGGCAAGCTTAAAAGTGAGAGTTTTATGGTGTTGAGAAGAAAAAGAGACACCCATTTTAGATTTTCTTTGTATTATTTAAGCATTTTTTACTTACGACCTGGATTTGGGTCCCTAACCCCGTCGTAAGTCAGGGAGGAGCTGTTTTTGTAGCTATGGACGAGGGCGTGGCTTACGGGCCAGGTTAGCGTGGAAATAGTTAAGTGTGTAAAACCCTGATATTTTTTTTTCAAAAGCTTATTCAACCAATTTTGTGTTTTGAATGTACAATACTGTAATGGAGGGGATTTAGAGGTAGAAAGTATAGATAGAATATTTAGTTGTAGGATGTAAAGAGAGGAAGTTTGGTAGCGTGGCCGGTTAGTTATTTATCTGTATTGTATATACGTTCTTAGGGGAAATCTTCTAACCCACCAATTCTAAGTACAGCTATTTATTATTCACTCAATGACAAAGACACATTAATAGAACATTATATCGAAGTTACGAGAACATTATATTTACGTTACTAAACATCGACTCTCGGACACAAACATGAAATGAATACACTTCCCACCATAAGTAACTCACCCTATGGATAGCTCTGACAAAGACTCACGTGTGACCTGAGGGAGGTCTAGCATGTGCTGCTGGACTATGTCTCCTATGGGAGACCCTGCTAGCTGGAGACGTATAGTGCTGGGGAGGGAAGTCTCCCTCCCCATCTCGACTAGTGACGAGCGTGACTCAGTCTTCCGTCGATAGTGTAGTGAAAGTCGTCTGAATATGAATGCCGTGGAAGGGGCTGCAGGGCCTTTATATTGGAGGAGAGCCGGCAGATGACCTCTCACAATTAACATTAAACTGGTTAGATGTGGACAGCTGTGTTTGCCCAGGTGTGTAGCCATTTAGCAGGTCGGTAATGCTTCTTAACTATTACCACCCGGGTGTGTCTTGGCAAGGGTGTGGTTTCCTTAACACGGTCATATCGCATGGTTAACTTAAGTACTTAGTGGCCTTGCCCTCCTGGGACAGGTCTTGGTGTCACTGTAGGGTGTGTCAACTTATGGGTATACACCTGCTCATTTACTTACTGTTATATGTGTTGTATTTCTCTGGGCTGTAAGCTTTGGTCTGATAAACAATCATTACAATACTAACCTAAACTACCTGAAAATCATGGCAATATTTGAACTAAAATACAATAACCGATTCTCACCTGACCATCTGAACAGAAGTTTGGGAACCTCTTGGTCGTTTCAAGTATGGCTGTTGATGGCGGTGCAAAGCTTTTAGACCTATTCTTGTTGATCTACCAGGTGGATGAATGACTCCAATTCTTTTAGGTCCTACTCCAGGTCTGGATGCAGGCTGAACCCTTCCATTCCCTGCAGGAGGCATCACGATGCCAACATGATCCACTGGCTTCCCCCGTATCCTTTTAGGCTGTTGTGCCACTACAGGGTGTGTCCTACGCCCCCCACCATTTCGATAGTGAGTGGGGTGTGTACGATGACTATCCATAAGAAGAGGGTGTTGTAAATGTCCACTCTTAATTTTTTTGCCTGGATTGTAACTTCCAGGTCTGGGTGTGGAGCCTACACCTCTAATAGGCCCTTCATTATGATGGTAGTAACTCAATTCCTTTGTAGGGCTGCCAGGAGGACTATACTTGTGTGTGACTTCAGTGTGAGTTGTGGTGTATGGGTGGTGGGTGTTGAGGACGTCCAGCCAAGCATGGTTAATGGCAGCAGATCCTGTCTCCTCCATGGTGTTGTAGGCATCAGTCCTGCCAACAAATATTATCTATTAAAATTCCAAACAAGATCTATAAAGTTAGAAAACAACAGCAGATATCAGATTTAGTACTGCTGTATAATATAAATAGTATCGACATCCAAAATACAGTGCAGATACTGTACCTATGAGCAAAGTGGTGCTTTCAGATTTTTTTTTAGATTGCCCCCGAGGGGGCTAGTTTACTGGGCACCCCCTTACACCCTGTGCAAGGTGAAGCTCAGAAGCGTTTACAGCGCCCATCTGGGAAGCATGCAGAGTTCATACCTGCCTTTATGACTTATGCATTAAGGGTGTAAAAGCCTGAAGGGTCATGGGTTTTTTCAGCAAGTTACATAAAGTGACAGAATGATGAGTGTGTGGGGGACAAAATTCCCGGTATAATTTATCTGTTTAGGGCAAAGCGTGGCAGGTCCCTAATAATGTTAAGTGCCAGGCCATAGGCATTGACAATATTGAGGGACATACCTCTTAGTGTGATTGTGATAGCGTGTACGTCGGTAGTGTCCACTTCAAAGGGGACGTCGAGAGGCTGGTAGAGGACGTCCTTCTTGGCATAGATATGTAGTTCACTAGCATGTCCGCATGGTGGTCAATTGATGTGGAGAAGTGGAGTGGACGGGCCCCAGGTGCCGGCATGCCGGTGGGGGACAGGGAGCCGGGGGTGGTGTCCTTGGGTCCATGAGCAGGCGCGGCTTGCGGTGGGTGGACAGGGGCAGCAGGGCACACCAGGGCAGGCTTGATAGGTGCCACGCCAGCAGTGATGCCAGGCGGCGGTGGAGTAGGCCGTAAGCAAGAAGGGCACACAGGGGGGGATACAAGCTTGTCAAGCCAAAAGAGAGGGGTGACTGGGTACTTTTACTTTTTTACTTTTATCCTCTTCACCACTGGTCGGCTCGTTAGCCGCTTGGACGATCGGTCACGTCTCTGAGCAGCTGGAGGCAGGGGTAGTCTGTGTAGGTTGGAGATGGCGGTACAGAGTGTATCAAAAAGTCTTTCAATACGGTTGGTAAATTTGTGGAAGAGGGATATGATCTGTGTCGAGTCACCGGTGGGAGCACAAGGCCTGACAGCGTCAGAGTAGAGACGGGAATGAGGCCCAGTAGTACTGTAGTTGAGTTAGGTAACGGCCGGACTGCTGTGTTGCAGCCAGGTGAAGCCGGGCAGGGGCAGGTGTTGTTGAAGAAGGCATTGCCAGAGGAGGAGACGCAAGGAATGCGGCCCGGTAGGCTGGGGGGGTTGACGCAGCCTTCGGGGGGACTTTTCTCCTGGGACAGGCAGATTTTGGGGGCATACCCTATGATACATTAAAAAAATAAAAAAATAAAAAAATGGGGGAAGCTGATGACCTGAGCTTACCCTAATGATTGTGGGACAGTTTTGGTCTAATAAGAGTTTGGTTAGTTCATGTCACTCAAAAACTAACTGGTTTCATGTTCTTTGTGTTACTGTACAGTTCTTTTTTAACAAGGCTGTCTTACACTGATCCCTTGAAAAGGGAAACACTAAAAATACTGCACTAGTAACTATATATCATGCGGCGGTAAAATATAGAACATCAAGTGTACATGGCTTCAAAATGCCCATGATATTGGTCAGATTTAAAAAATAAAATAAAAAAAAAATCTGGGGGCTTAATGCCCCCCCCCCCCCCCCTTTCGGCTGGATAGGTTTACTATGCTTACCATGTTCCCCTGCCCACAACTTCTTGAACCACCTGGATCTGCTTCTGTTCTCCCTGTTCTTGCAGTTCTTTCTGAATCTTCACCTGCAGTTACACATTTTCAACTTTCTGCTCTTCTCGTGATTGTATCTGTTCATGCAACCTTGTTTGTTGCGCCTTCTGTTCTTGTCGTTGTGATTACAGCTGTTCTTGCAAATTTCTCTCCTGCTCCCTCTGTTCTTCTCATTGTTCTTGCAGTAGTTGTTTATGTTCTTCATTGTGTGTGTAAGAATTGCATCAGATCAGCCATGGATATCTCCCCTTGCCTGGCCTGGCTTCTGGTCTGGACAGTGTCACCTTCCATCATGACTAATACTGTATCTCACTGCTAGTCAAGCCCATTCCTGACACCAGTGTTACAAACCCCTTTTGCCACTTACCAGCTTCCCTCGCTGGTTGCCAGGTCGAATATACAAAAGCAGATGTATCACAAGTGTCGTCAAAATAACACTAGCTGTCCCGCCAGTCTCCGGTAATTTCCCGACGATTGGTTACAGTGTACAGATAAAACAACAGTCGGGTAGATTTCCACCAGGTCACAAAAACACACTTGTGAACTGTTGTCCTCTTTAATAATAACTAAATCTTCACAAAACTGTTCAAAGGGTATGTCCTTACAACTGGTCTTCTCACTTCAAATATAAACAGTCCGAACACTATCGGTATTCTTTTATCCTCTTCACCACTGATCGGCTCGCTAGCAGCTTGGGCAATCGGTCACGTCTCTGTTACGCACTGTTGGCAAGTACTGGGCATGCATCGGCTCTTGAATGTACCTGAACCTGCTCCAGTGTTGGTGAAGTCTTGTCTTGAAAGAGCTCACACTCGGTGACGACACAACACTTTCTGGTAGATTGTTCCAAGAGTTCACAACTCTCGCTCCGAAAAAGTTTGCCCTCACAGTTTTCTGGACTTGCGGTTTCTTCAATCTTGAGCTGTGGCCCTTGTGGGGCGAGCTTCCGCCAGCTCCAAGTAAGGACACTCGACTGAGTAGTGCCCTTTGAGATGCTTATACTGTACACCTCAATTAGGTCACCCCTTGCCTGTCTGTAGTATAAGCTAGGCAAGTTCAGGCACTCCAATCTCTCAGGGTAGCTGAGGTGCTGAAGTTTGGTGGACCTCCTTTGAACATTTTCAACCAACTGACAGTCCCTAACATATCTCGGGGACCAGACGGGGTGACAGTATTCCAGATGGGGAAGAACTTCACTCTTGAAGATCGTTACGAGGGCCGAACCATCTAGATATCTGAACGGCCTTCTTATCAGACCCAATAATTTATTTGCCAGATTTACCTTCTTCTCGCAATGGCCCGAGAACTTCAACTCATTGTCAACATACACACCTAGGTCCTTCTCACATTCAGTCTCAAATAGTGCAGTTTCTTCATCCCTTTGGGACATATGATACGCCTCCTTACCGTTGGTATGCCCCAGGTGCATCCTCTTACACTTCGTGACATTGCATCTCAGCAGCCATTTCTTCGAACATTCTCGGAACCCACAGAGGTCCTTCTGCAGCTCTTCACAGTCCGCTTAGTTCTTGATTTCCCGAAATAACTTGGCGTCATCGGCAAACATTTGTATGGAGGAGTGTACAACGTCAGGCATGTCATTTATGAAACAAGCAAACAACAGCGGGCCCAATACACTGCCCTGTGGTACCCCGCTTGTGACAGGTACGGATTATGATTTCATGCCATTAATCACCATACACTGCTTGCGGTCATGTAAAAAGTCTTCTATCCACGCTGGGCATTTCCCAAATTCCGTACCCTTCCAGTTTGATTTTCAGATTTTCGTGGGGTACACTGTCGAGAGCCCTGGCAGAATCTAGGTAAATATTGTCGATATTACCACCCCGTCGTTTCACTTTATAACGCTCACAACAATTTTACAATACTTGAACAACAATTATCTTTAGCCGAATTGATTAAGTACACTGGCAATGAAAGTGCATGATGATTTTCTATTTCAGTACAGCGTGTGTCGCCTCTGGCGGTTGCCAAAGAACCGCAGTTGCCCCCTTTTCCATCTGCTCATGGGACGATCATCTTCCTCTTCAAGCAATTTACCTGTTCGCATTATTATTCCCTGACTTGCTAGATATGAAAAATATTAAGCGATAAAATTAATCAGATAACTCTAGTTTTAACAACTGCTCCCGCTAATAAAGAGCAACCAAAGATCCACCACTGCCTTGTGTGAGCGAAGCAAAACAAACACAATTGCAAACCAATATAAGTTTGCTGGAGCATGAGCTTTGTTTATCCACTATCGCTACATTATAACAATGAAAACAATAGTAGTATTACCGAAGCAGCAAAAAAAAAATGTGCCTCTGGCAGTGGGGACGACGCAGAAAGATAAAATTAGTATAGAAATATTAAAAGAAAAAGATGATAGTGGTTCAGGTACAATGACAACACAAGAAAAATATAAATACCTGTTTCCCTACACACAACGCTTCCGTGACGCCTGCTGGACCACCACTCCACGACCCCCTGACGGAGACACGATGATCCTCCCCATACTGGCCAGATATTTTGTAAATAATATTGATTATGTGTTAAAGGAATATCCTTCCTTCTTTAGGCTTCAGTAAGCCCCTTTATAATATTTATACTGTATATACCTGTCACACTTGCCAGATGCTTCTGGTGTCATTGTACAGGGGTACCTAGTGACAGCACTAGGATCCCGCTTCCTCTATCAAGGAATAAACAATTGAAATTGAAATACCTGTTGCGTTAATGGGGTAAGCGAGGAAGACCTAGGAGGAGAATGGATAGGAAGAGGATGACTTGCTTATCAGACTGTCACATCATTCAATGACGCAGCGCCCTTCGAGCTTCCCGATTTTAAAATGGATGAAATTTGTTTAGTTTTATGTCCCGCCACAAACATGAAAGGAGAATACAGTGTTGAAATTGACCATCTGTACAAGTGCGCCCAAGCACATTGTACAAATGGGCGCACTTGAACAGATGGTCAATTTTAACACTGTATTTTCCTTTCATATTTGTGGCGGGACATAAAACTAAACACAAACGACTACGTATACACAGGACACGAAGCACGGGACTTCACACACTAAACTTGGCCATTTCTTCAACACGTGAAAAGTGGGTCACTGTGATCCTTTCAAAAATAGAACAAGCCTTTATAAAACAATAAGCAGACTTAAATTATAACAAAACTACATATATTAGAAGAAAGAGAAAAATGTAAAATGGTAAGTGGCTGGCGTGTACACTAGGTTCGTGTCAGCCGTGTTCAGGTGCCTAGCTATCAGGAGCAGAACGTCTCACAGTATTAAGTTATGCCGTTACATGGGACGCGCTGCCCACCTGCTGATGCTACATAACGGAGTGTGTTGTCGACCCGCCATTATCACTTGGGAGCCTTTAATAGTAGCTGCAGGACTTGTGAGGGTGGATCTGTGCCTGTGACAGGTAATTTATATTCGTAATAGAAAATCTGTAAGACCCGTGACAGCGAATCTATACGATTTGATACTGTAGTAAATCTGTAAAACCTTCGATTGCAAGTACTGCAGCACTGTCTATGATAGCACAAGTACTGCAGCACTGTCTATGATAGCTGTCCCTGGGTCACTTACGACAGTGAATGTGAACCTACAATATAATGCCAAAATTGTGGTAATTATGGTTGCAACTACAATACATGCAAAGGTATCAACTCCAGAGAATGCATAAAGTGAAATCTGTAGGCCAATAACAGCAACTAGGAGAGACTGCGAATGTCTTCTGTCAGACAAGGTTACGCCAAGTTGGTGGCAAGTGGTTAGTTATGTGATATCACGTCGGTGAGCTATAGGTTCTAAAACATTCACGGATTGGATGAAGGTTAGGTTAGGATAAAAATAAGACGAGAAAGAAAAGAAAACGAGAGAAGACGACCTACACCTACATGTTGATGCTCGAGTGGTTGTATGTCGACGTTACTTTCCACTTAAGACAAATTACATTCAAAATGCCTGGGCGTAGTCAAGTAGTCACGTAGGAGTGATACCCTCCTTATTCTTGTTCCTGCGTGTACAATAATGGCAAGACATTTCTATACACATTATACACGAATGCAATACAAAACACTCAACAATCATCCCCCAAACATAAAAATATACGTACGTTACACAGCACATTCAAATTATATACACTACACAAAAATATACCTTATGTAAACATGAAAACACTATTAACCTAATCTTCAAAGGTGTGTTTATAATCATCTTGGAGCGACACACCTCTTGAAATTCGTACAAATTTTCTCAGGCACACATTATTACTTCATAATGACTCTTGAATTATTCAACTTGAGGCCACAAGTGGTCTTTATCCTGAGTAGAAATGTCAGAAGTGGCTCGCTTACTCACTTGGGGCTGGACGACAAAATTCCGCCTTGCATAATCATATTTACCAATGAGAATGAACAGGTGGGATTTTGTCACCCCCTGTGGGATGATGTACCAGCTTGTGAATGTTTACGTCTCCGATAGGCTCATCTTGCCGTAAATTAAATTTGCTTCCCCACGACCTACCTCATCATTCGATCACAACCAGACCCGAATTAGCATGTCTGACACCAAGAAAAGCCATGCAAGTGGAACAAGTTAAGGTTGAGGATTTTCCTCCGCCGTTCACCCCACTTGAAAAGCTAAACCTCCTCGTCCAGAAGAGGGAGGAGGGTTATGGGGGCAATATCACCGCTTCAGGAATCGAGGAGGAAACCAAGTACCGTCGCACAGCAAAGAAAATCTCATACAACGTTAGAACCGTCAATATGAACACCCAGAACCGTCAATATGAACACACAGAACCAACAAGATCAAGACCAGAACACCCAGGATAAGAACACTAAGACCATCAAGAGTATGGACATCCATCACTAGTAGGAGTGCGAAACAACAAGAAGCTTACAATTAACAAGACCACAACCGTAATAACCACCCCTGTTGACGGCCAGTATAGTAAATGAAGACCAACCTCAATCATGAACGTTAGGCGTGGTTTGGTTATTCCAACTTTTAATTGCGTGTGTAAATATGATTCATATGTTTGTATCACAGCTTTGTATCGAGTGCAAATATATCGGTGTATATCAGTGACTTTGAACCTATATTAAAGCCAGACCCATGAGACTGACGGGGAGAATACACACAACACGTAAGCTACTCGGGAAACAGTACTGTTTGGTGCACGTTACAGTTTATAATAACTTTCTCGGCCGCGCCACTCACACACTTCCCGGAGGTCTTATATTTTTATGAGCCCAACATACAACTCTAAAAACTATAAATACATTCTGTAGATTCACACCATTTATTATAATTTCGTACATGTTTGTTTGTGGTTCAGTACAGTATGAGGGCCTGAGCTGCCACCATTTTATAAGGGCCTGTGTGTCAGTAACAATTCCTTTTACTCCCATACTTATTACCATTGGTAGCGTGATGAGAGGAGGCTCGTGGGTAAGTGTAATGATAGTATCAAGTAATAGGGAAGAAATAACGGTAAATACTGTAGGTAAATAATAAACACAATATACAAATAAAAAATTTATTTAAACATTAATATGGAATTAGGAGAAAGGATATATATGTACCAACAGACGAAATCTAGTACTAGGCCCTCAGGCTCAACATACTCACACCATTACTAGGTGGACATACTCAATAACACTCACAATCCTACTGGGTGGATATACTTAATAACACATAACTCTTATAGTCACTTAGCACCATAAAGACCAGGGCAACTGCCACTACAACACTCAGTCGACAGGAGTGATAGCTCAAGCAACAGCCATGGGGTCCAGCCACCATGGGGTACTTTCCGACGAACTCTGAAGATCCCAGTGGATTAATCCCACCACACAAATAGCCCTACTGAGTTAGACACTCATCCACCAATGATGGGGGCTGGTAGTGGTGTGTGGCTTGGTGATCCGGGGTCACCTCGCAGGCCGAGCGTTAGGGCCAGACGAGCCAGCTATGGGGGCTGACGGTCGGGTCTCACGAAGGTAACTGATCCTACTGGACCTCGGACATCTCCCCAGACATAGTGGATACAACATCCACGCTACAGACACGGCCTAGGCTGCGTTAGGGACCTGTATGGATGAAGGGGCGAGCACTCACTAACGGTACAAAGGCCCGCGACACCCACTCAAAATAGGCCAGGGAGTCCACCTACTTCTATTTCGATGAATTAATTTACTGTACACTCTGACGTTGAAACTGAGACTATAAACTCAGTTTCATTCCCTACTATTATCCTCACTAACAATACTCTGACTCAGCTATCAAAAGCAAAATTAAATTGATTACAAAGGGTTGGATGGCAACAGGTCCCAACATACAGCGTCTGCTACGAAATCCGCGGATTATATTCAAAGTTCCCTTAAGACAAAGACGGGGAAACAGAGAAAACGGGGGACGTTTCCACCGGGGGACTCGGAAGGTTTTGTGGACGTTTGAGCGTAATATGAATCCTTAATGTTTTCAGGTTAGCCGTTATCACGGTCATGACAACAGCAGTCCCCATATGTAGTTGTAATTATCGAAGAAACGGAAAAATGGTCGGTGGTAAGGTGATTATCGCACAGCGTGGTGATTAACATACGGTAGTAATTATCATGTGGTGGTAATTCTACCGTACGCCAGTTAAGATTCGTGCATAGGAGTAATAATCACCGAGGTCCCTTCCTGGTTACCGCGCGCCGTGATCCAGTTGCACGTGTACGATGACTACCGGAAATAATAGGCCCTGGGCGGTGCCTTCGCACTAGTGGAACCACAACAAGTTGACTGCCTATGTAGTTAGTAAACCTTCCCCCAATCCCCCTTTAACCCCATCAAACATACTGGCAACTCCTCCCAACAGAAGCCACCCTGGCTCTACAATATTATAACCTAACCTACATTAGAAAGCCAAAACGAAAATCGTATTATTTAAAATTAACCTTGCTGGACAGAACCCAACCTAAATTAAAATACAATCCAAAAGACTAGCTCTCCCCTCCAGACCCATGTTTTCCATTTCGAGTTCCTAGTCGGCCCCTACTCGACCCAGCTGTAAAATGGGACTCTAACTTTACAGTTTGGGGTAATAAAGGAAAATAGAGTGCAGTCGTGTCCATTTTCTTTCCTTGTTAACTTCTCCAGTATGCAGTTTCCACACTGATCCTGATGCATTGTCAAGCCTATGGGAACAATTTCAAATTTCAACCAAGTCTTTACCAAAATTAACTGAACCTACACCTTTCTCAATTTAAATCAACTCAACGTGGGCTAACTCAGTACTTAACTTAAACATTAGTTTATCCAAAATCAATTAAAACAAACACTAGCCTCAATTGATCTAAACAAATAAAACTAAATCTAGCTCAGCGGATATCAATGGAATCTGTCGCTAATCCCCAAAGGCAGACCTTCTGGGGTTCAGATTCTCTAGTTGTTATTGACAATAAATAACATCTTAACTGAATATGTTGTGCTTAACTAGCATCCGCTAAAGCACTTTTTGCGTGGAGTTTCTCCTAGCTGGTGTTAAGTGAACGAATTTAGTTTCAAAAAAATTTTGATAATAATTCGGACGTTATTTGGCGATTGTAGATCATTATCACTACCCACAAAGGCGGCTGTGATAACATTCACTTTTCTTAAAACAGCCCGAAATAAAATAATTACAGTAAAAAACATTATCTTCCTGCCTTAGCTCTTCTGCGATCCAATTATTACGACAGGGAAAATTAAATGCCCAAGGCACCACTTCCACTTTTCATGTAAATGGGGGAGGGTTATTTTTTTATTTTTTTAAATATTGTAGTGTAGAGGATTTCTTAAATTTTGACAAACACTGTACCCTCATGTTACTAGGATATAGAAATAAAGGAGGAAGGATCGGCACAAATGAAAGGCGGGGCTGGAGTTGGTGATGAGGAATGTAAACAAAGGAAGAAGGGAGTATGGAAGCGAAAAAGAAACTATTCTTTATATTCAAATCTCATGAAGTTTAAAATAATTATTAAAAAAATTACAAAATGGACTAATGTTCTATATGTACTGTAAGTATTCTACAACTTCGTTAAATGCATAGTAGCCTCCGGCGTCCTACCTGTGTGTCCATAGTGTGTGTAGAGCGGCCTCCAGTGTGCCCTGCTTAGCTTCATCGTTTTCTGCAAAGTATTGCGTGTAGTCCAGCCTATGTGTGGACGCCCCACCGTAGTCTCCGAGCCTAGCATCCTTATCAGAGGTCCCCAACATACGTAAATCCATTTCTTTACCTGGCAAGCCTCCGGTTACCCCTGGAGAGGACCAAGATGGGTTGGGTGAGGGGCTGTTTGGATAACGGGAGAGGAGGTCAGTAGTAGGGTTGTGGTAGGCGTTGATGGGCACGGAGCCGGCCAGGAAGGTGTTTTTTGCATGAACTTGTTGGCTAGGAGGCTGGTAAGGCTGCCCCTGTCGGCCCTTAGCCAGATGATGGTTAGGGCGGGGATCTTTGGGAGGCATGAGGTGCCCCTGAATACCATAATCGGTGAACTCGATAATCGGGAAGGACGATGGGAGGGCAGGCATCCTAACAGTCCCCATCAGCGGCTCTGCCACAGCCGTCACCATGCCGTCATCGCCGCTATGACCTGACCCACCAACGCTGCTACAGCGGGCCGCCAACACCAGCACCATGATAATTACCACCATTCTTCCCAAACCCATGACAGTCAGTCTCCCTAATAGATTAAATTAAAATTAATCGACCATAAGTATCGAATGTGAGACCATATAAATATTATTTTTCTTAGGTGTACAAGACTGTACCTAATGTTAGCCTCAATTATCTGCACTTCAAATAATGGTCAACTTCCACAGTTTAACGACTTATTTCAAACAGTAAACAAACCAGGCTCGCTGTACTTTTGTAAATACCAACGTTGAGATTCTGTTATTTTTTATAACAATACACTGTGTAACTTTTCATGAAATATTTCCTTTTACCCATAGCAAACAAGCATTTCGTTGTCACATAATATATGCACACTCAACTGGTTTTACTAACTACTGCACTTGACTCGTTCATCAAGGGTTGTTATTTTGTCGAGTTTCACGCCCTTGCCATGAAGTCAAATCGTTATTTATGTTTTTGTATTATTCATCTGAAGGACGAATAGTTTACTTGTTAAAATATGTATAACAAAACAAGCAGCTCCTTAAATTTCGAAAAATCGGCGTTTTTGGGATATGAACAGTATACCAAGTTTATACAGTTGCGTCAGCTTATCAGTAATGTCACTGTGCTCCTTGAACAAGACATGGTCTACGCATATTAGTAGCACTGTACTTATTGCTCAAGTTACGTAGTAGTCCAGATGTCTCGCCAAGATGAACTGGACTGAGATCGTAATACACCTCCACACATCACAACGGTCGGAGCCATACTGCCAACTTTTGTACCTGCCGTCTCGGGCCTCTCGGCCCAACCAGTGTTGCCAGTTTACTCGGCCAAATTTCCTCGAGTCACCCTCAAAATTCCCTTTCGTCACGGAATTTTTCTTATTGCCAGTAAGAGACTCAGGGTGGGGTTGCTGGATTTTTGGCTGACTGTACATGTATTTGCATTTCTAGAGTACTAAATTAGTATTATCAATATGACAGCATCTGCATGTTAACATGATGTGAATACCTTCGCGGCTGAAAATAAATACATAATTTACTGAAACTATTTATTGGGATGAATGTTCAATGCAAAAGTAGTTATTATTATTATTATTTTGTTTTAATTTTTAGATTTATCAATCTGTATCTCGTACAGTTTCTTGAACAGCTCTAAACTTTTTTCACAGAACTCCAACTCTTAGTACTTGGGATATATAAATGTTATTTTAGTATTCAGTACGCTTTTGCTGAGTTTCATCCTTCTAGTCTATTTTTTTTTACTGGATTAGCCCACCAGAGCACAGGTCAATGACCCACATCAGGGCCTGAGGGCAAATATATAATACTCATAATAATAATGATAATAATAATAATAATAATAATAATAATAATAATAATAATAATAATAATAATAATAATAATAATAATAGTAATAATAATAATAATAATAATAATAATAATAATAATAATAATAATAATAATAATAATATATAACATTTAAAAAAATAATAAAAAATAATATTAATAAAGTCCCATAAATAAATACAAAAAATTAAATAAAAAATCAATAGTGAGAAACGATAGTAAGAGAAGCAATTGAGACCTGAAATTGTGTGTAAATGAGGCAGAAAGTCTGATCAGCAACCTGGGACTCTGTCACAATGTTTTTCCCCTTTTCACCATTGATCGGCTCGTTAGCCGCTTGGGCGATCGGTCAAGTCTCTGTTACGCACTGTTGGCAAGTACTGGGTATGCACCGGCTCCTGAATGTACCTGAACCTGCTCCAGTGTTGGTTAAGTCTGGTCTTGAAAGAGCTCACACTCGGTGCCGTCACAACACTTTCTGGTAGATTGTTCCAAGAGTTCACAACTCTCACTCCGAAAAACTGCCCTCACAGTTTTCTGGACTTGCGACTTCTTTAATCTTGAGCTGTGACCCCTTGTGGGTCAAGCGTCTGCCAGCTCCAAGTAAGCACACTCGACTGAGTAGTGCCCCCTGAGATGCTTATACACCTCAATTAGTTGAAGCTTTCAACATCACTCACATGGGATCTTGAATGTTTTATCTCTAATCAGACATATCTAATTTAACATAACATACACACATTCAGTTGAAATTTCAAATTTCATAACACGAGATGAGATAGTAAGGAATATTAGTCTCGGCACTACTCAAGCGGAAAACGGAGTACTTGGGCGTACTGAAGCGGTGAGAACACGAACGTCTCCACTTGGGGACTCAATTAAGATGTTATAGCTTCCTGTTTTATGGGGTATTGAGCGCAATATGAATCGTCTGATTTAACGTTAACTAACATGTATGGCAGTGGTCAGTAGAGGGTAGTTCATCATGTCTCTGTTTCACATTGTTGGCAAGTACAGTACTCATCAATGAGAACTGATAAAAAAAGAAAAACAGAAGACAACTCAAACTAGCTTGAGGTTAAGACCAGGAGACTATGACCAGCACAGGCAGTTGCAGTTGTTCTAATTTATCTGAGTACCTGAGGTGCCGTAGTGCAGGCACCAGTCTGGTGGCCGTCCTTTGTAAATTTTCAATCAACTGAGTCTCTAGCATATTTCGGGGACTAGACGGGGCCGATTGTTTGTTGCTAGGAGCCAGGGAGTGCCAGACCCAAAGTGGTCTAGGGGGGTGGGGGGGGGGGCACAGTTAGGCCATCAGGTGTTCATTTCAGGCTGTGCAGATTATGTGGAACATATAATTGTACTGGGCAAGTGACTTTTGAAATTTACATACCCAGATTTTTTGGAGGAAAAGTTAATTAAACATCTTAAAACATGTGTTGTCATAACTCCTTTTACCTCTTTTCACACCTGCAGGGTGTGTGTGTGTGGGGGGAGACAGTACCTCTGTCGGTAGCAGCAACACTATCATGTGAGGTTATGACAACCGTCACTCACCTCACACCTGTAGGTGTGTGTTGGTAGGGGTGGAGGCAGTACCTTCCCAAACTAACCCCCCCCCCCACCTATAATCTGGTGTCAATGGTAGTAACACTTCTCATGTGAGGTCACAACTCCTGTCATCTCATGTTTACAGCTTGGTGGTTCCTTTGGAATGTTGACAACTTGACACTGACTGACTAAAGGCGGGTTGGCGGCTTAATGTGGAGAAAAATTACCTGCACCTGACATAGGTCACTAATCCTGGTATTATACTAATGAAAAACGACCCATTGAGGGACCTCCCTGGTTAAACATGTGCAGTGAAGTGGAGTCAAGCAGCACCTACAAGTTCCTGTCTTGGTATATTCCTCTCAAAGTATTTGCTTGTCCGCAGGGCAAAAGTTGGGAACATGAACATGAAAATACACTTGCCCTGCTGGCTGCTGGACTGTTTTAATCTGCACAGCCTGGTTCATTTGGTATTCACAAACCAATATTTTCAACCAAAAGTTTATTTGTGCTTTATATATTGCACGTTCAGCACATTTTTTTATGAAATTATAGACAAGCATGCAGAATAACAGAATAAAAAAAATATACTTACCATATAACTCGTCTGGTAATGTTTTCCTCCATGTGCAATTCCATAACAATAATATGCAATAATGGTCAGGGAATCATTTCCCTCCTTGTTATCACCCCCTGGGCCACGAGATGTAGAAGCTCTGCTCTCTCTGCTTGATAAAGGCTTACTGAGGAAGCTGCTCTCAAGCCCACTCTGACCTAAAACAAAGCACGGGAACACTATACACATTTAAGTGCCTCAGCAGGAAATGAACGTGTCTGTTGATGTTGGTCCCAGTCACCTAAGGCAACATCAATGGAATTTGACTACAGTTTAAGAGTTAAGATAATAAATTTTTAACGAGCACGCAATTTGACATCTTTTTTCCAGCCATTGCTTTTCTTCTGAATTTCATCTAAATCCACAGAAAAAAACACATCTATTAACCGCTTTCACACCATGATTCATATTGCAGTGTGCGAATCACTCAAGCTCTCGGTGACACCAATTACTTCTACATCTCAAATTATTTATGAGTAAAATATTATGGAATACAGGTGTAATGGAAATCGGAAGGTCAGTGCCTAGCTACCAGATAAGAGATAATCTAATATACAGTACTGTACTAGGCTTCCTAAAACAGCTTGTGCATTAACAGAACCAGCCTGGTGGATAGGATCAAACCAGAAAATCAAATACTACAGTACAGGACTGTACCTTTATACATGGTATTATTTTGATGAAACTTGGCAGGCTCGTTGAGTGTTTGGCAAGTGACCAGTCAAAATTTTAGTGAAGGTAGACAGAAGTTCAGTGATACAACTGAAGGTGAAAATTCTGTTAAACAATTCAAGTGACACTGAATAATGAATGACAGGAGTTTGTATTGTAATGAACAGTTTGTATAACAATACAGTACCGGTAGAATTGTTTTAGCTCCGATGGGATGCGATTGTATTAAAATACAATGTCTCAGGCTCAATTTATTAAACAGACGAGTCACTTGTATACATTTTGATACAGTCCAACTTTTTTCAATAAAACATAAGAACATATTATACCAACATTCTATCTATTGTACTCAATATTTATATCTAACGATATGTTACACTTCTCTTAGGTAGTTATTAGCTGATAGCTTGGTGCTACATATTGATGCTTAATAATGTTATTAGATTCAACTGTCAACAGACACTCAAGCTAAAGTTCAAATTATTATTTTCTTTAACATAAAAGTTTACCAACACAAGTGCCAATCAAATGTAAGCAAGTACAGTAACTTACAACTAACTACCCAATAACTCACCCTGCTTGATATTCTGTACTGTGCTGTACAGTATATGCATAAGAGGTATATTAAGCATTATGGCTTAGCAGTACTTAAGCAACATTACCAAGGACACAAATAGTGAGATTATCCTTGTAATGAATTTCAAATTAGAAGTTATTTAATTTGTGTCATTATCTAAGCAGTGGTACTTCAAGTCATTAAAAGAAGAGGTCCTATTTTGTCATAATGCAATGTGAGTGTAAAAGTACAGTACTCCTTTAATGTTACCCCTAGGTATTGCACTGAAACATATGCACTAAAAAAGAACCATTATTGCACTTTAAAATAATTGTAATTTACAAAAGAAGTACACTTAATTTATATTAAACATTTAAAAGTACCCTATTGCCAACTAAATAATTTTCTTTAAGTTCTATCAAATATTGCACAATATAATATAAATTTGGCTAAAACTTCTGAGGAAATATTGCACTGAACATATTGAAAACATGTTCACAACTCATAAAAATATTTTATGCCAACACACTTCACAAACCCACTTGAGGGGTTATTTGTTTAAGAATAATTATTGTATGGTATTACATAAAACAATCAGCCATTGGAAGATCTAAATTTATCTAACCCTTCCTTTCAGAAGAGCTCATGGAAGGGGTGCAAATTTATGAGGTCATACCAGGGGTTCAAAGTTAGCATAACAATGTGTTTGGAATGTGTGTGTGTGTGTAAAAACATTTATAGTTTGTGTAAGGATCCCAAAACCAATGGCAACTCCAAACTCATGACATGCCCCTCAAAACCATTCAATTTTGGTTTGCCTTCCCTAGTATGATTTTTTCCTTTGGGCGCAAGTATCCAGCAGAGTTACTGCATTATATTTATATGAAGGAATCACCTTACAATAATTAATAAGTTCTCACTAAACATCTTTTAGCAACCTCAATATGAGGCATACATTTGTCTTGCAATGCCTCAGTGACACACACTCATTAATTTAAATCTAACAATGCAATGTCCACTGTGTCTCTAATTGCCTTGAATAATCATCCTACACTATTCACTGTAGACAATGTAAAACGAAATTCTAACACAATTATAACATGAAAAACATTATAATATATCTGGCCAACAGGTGCGGATTTACACAGCAATATCGGAAACAGATTCAACAAACTCAAATGTTTATGACACTTCTTCCCGTATAAAATGTACAAATGGTTTTTACACAAATAATCAAAATTGCAATTCCAAAAAATTCATACATGGCAATTTTCACAGTGGAGATCCAATAATTAACATACTGAAAAATACTCAGTTTTGTTTGGTCCACAGCTACCATGTTTTGTTTTTTAGTAGAATATCCCTTGAACACACCTTATAACTCCTCTCCAAAGATCATTCATGCAAACCTCTGGATCCGTTAATTTATTACTTAAGGACAAGCTCTGGAATTAAAATGATTAAAGATTAATTTAAATCTGTCACATAGAAAGATTTTTCTGGGTGTTATCAACACTACCCAAGATACTGGTGGATGGATGCTAACAGCTGCAGGCTTATACAGTACTG